TGTTGTCGATTTTTCAAATTCTCGATTTTTATTTCGTCAGTTTTTTCAAGTTTCAATGTTACAATTTTTAGGTTTGACAGTTTCTCGTTTTTTCGATTTTTACATTTTAAGATATTTTTTTTTTATTTTTCAATTGTTGATTTTTTACTTTCGCTATTTTTTCAACATTTCGGTATTTCAATTTTTTTTTATTGTTCAATGTTTCATTTTTTTCAAGTTTTCAGTTTTTTTACTTTACGGTTTTTCGATGTTTATTTTGACATTCTTCAACTTTTGAATTTTACAATTTGTCGATTTTCCTATTTCTAGAAAATTTTGTTTTCCGTATTTTCTTTTTTTTTTATTTTTCAAATTTTCAGTTGTTTTTCAATTATCGAAGTTTTCAGATTCTCAAGTTTTAATATTACAATTTTTAAATTTCTCGGTGTTCCAACTTTCGTTTTTTTCTATTTTTGATTTTCAATTTTGCAATTGTTCGATTTTTCTGTTTTTTAAATTTTCAGTTTTTTTCATTTTTAAGGTTCAATTTTTCCTTTTCCAATTGTTGACCTCTTAATTATTCGATTTTGAGTTTTGTTATTTTTGCAGTTCTTCGATTTCTCAATTTTTCAGTTTTACAATTTTCCGATTTTTTTGATTTTTTAAAATTTCATTTTTAATATGGTTGTCCTTTTCCAAGTTTCATTTCTTCGATTTTTTATTTTCTCAATTCGAGATTTTTAAATTCTTGTTTTTTTTAATTGTTAATTTTTCAATTTTTCCGTGTTTCGTTTTTACATTTTTACTATTTCTCGATTTTTTTAGTTTTTCTTTTGGCTTTTTAATTACCCGATTTTTCAGTTTCTGTATTTTTTCAAATCCTTGAATTCTCGGTTTTTCAGTGTTTTTTCTTTTCGATGTATAATTTTTCAAGTTTTTCGTTTCTTTTTTACACTTTCTTAATTTTTTAGTTTTCCGGTTTTCATTTTAAAATTTTTGGATTTTGAATTCTTTTTGTATTTTTGATTATATAAGTTTTTGTTTTTCGTTTTTTCAGTTTTTCACTTTCTCCATTTTTAATTAATCAAGGTTTTCAGGTTTTAATATTACAATTTTTCGATTTTTCAATTGTTTTTACAATTATCCCATTGTTCAATTTCTCAATTTTTTCATTTTTCGATTCAATTCAAAATTTCGGTTTGAATCAATTTGTCCTTTTCTTGAACAATTAAAAAATGACAAATCGAGAAAATGAAGAAACAAAACTCGAGAATTTGAAAAATTTAATATCGAAAAATTGCAGAATTGTTCCTTTTTGTCGATTTTTCAATTTCTCGATTTTTAATTGTTGCGTTTTTTAAAGTTTCGGTGTTAAAATTATTCGATTTTGCAAAATTTTAATTTGGTTAAAATTGGAAATCAAGAACTTGAAAACTAGCAAAATTGTTTCGTTTTTACAATTTTTCAATTTTTCGGTGTCTCAATTTTTTAGTTTCTCGATTTTCATTTTGAAATTTTTAGATTTTTCATTTTAAAATTTTTGTATTCTTCATTCTGCTTTTCGATTTTTATTTTGGAGTTCTTGCATTTTTTAAGTTTTTGTTGTCGATTTTTCAAATTCTCTATTTTTATTTCGTCAGTTTTTTCAGGTTTCAATGTTATAATTTTTAGATTTGACAGTTTCTCGGTTTTTCGATTCTTACATTTTAAGATATTTTAATTTTTTTTTATTTTTTGATTTTTCAATTATTGATTTTTTACTTTCGCTATTTTTTTAACATTTCGGTATTTCAATTTTTTTTTATTGTTCAATGTTTCATTTTTTTCAAGTTTTCAGTTTTTTTACTTTACGGTTTTTCGATGTTTATTTTGACATTCTTCAACTTTTGAATTTTACAATTTGTCAATTTTCCTATTTCTAGAAAATTTTGTTTTCCGTATTTTCTATTTTTTTTTATTTTTCAAATTTTCAGTTGTTTTTCAATATCGAAGTTTTCAGTTTCTCAAGTTTTAATATTACAGTTTTTAAACTTCTCGGTGTTCCAACTTTCGTTTTTTTCTATTTTTGATTTTCAATTTTGCAATTGTTCGATTTTTCTGTTTTTTAAATTTTCAGTTTTTTTCATTTTTAAGGTTCAATTTTTCCTTTTCCAATTGTTGATCTCTTAATTATTCGATTTTGAGTTTTGTTATTTTTGCAGTTCTTCGATTTCTCAATTTTTCAGTTTTACAATTTTCCGATTTTTTTGATTTTTTAAAATTTCATTTTTAATATGGTTGTCCTTTTCCAAGTTTCATTACTTCGATTTTTTATTTTCTCAATTCGAGATTTTTAAATTCTTGTTTTTTTTTTAATTGTTAATTTTTCAATTTTTCCGTGTTTCGTATTTACATTTTTCGATTTCTCGATTTTTTTAGTTTTTCTTTTGGCTTTTTAATTACTCGATTTTTCAGTTTTTGTATTTTTCAAATCTTTGAATTCTCGGTTTTTAAATTTTTCGGGTTTTCAGTGTTTTTTCTTGTCGATGTATAATTTTTCAATTTTTCCGTTTCTTTTTTACAATTTCTTAATTTTTTAGTTTTCCGGTTTTCATTTTAAAATTTTTGGATTTTGATTTTTTTTTTGTATTTTTGATTGTTTAATTTATATAAGTTTTTGTTTTCCGTTTTTTCAGTTCTTCACTTTCTCCATTTTTAATTAATCAAGGTTTTCAGGTTTTAATATTACAATTTTTCGATTTTTCAATTGTTTTTTCAATTATCCCATTGTTCAAATTCTCAATTTTTTCATTTTTCGATTCAATTCAAAATTTCGGTTCGAATCAATTTGTCCTTTTCTTGAACAATTAAAAAATGACAAATCGAGAAAATGAAGAAACAAAAATCGAGAATTTGAAAAATTTTATATCGAAAAATTGCAGAATTGTTCCTTTTTGTCGATTTTTCAATTTCTCGATTTTTAATTGTTTTGTTTTTTGATTTTTCAGTGTTACAATTTTTCGGTTTTTCAAAAATTCAGTTTGAATAAATTTGTCCTGTTTTTACAATTTTTCAATTTTTCGGTGTCTCAATTTTTTGGTTTCTCGATTTTCATTTTGAAATTTTAGATTTTTCATTTTAAAATTTTTGTATTCTTCATTCAGTTTTTCGATTTTTATTTTGGAGTTCTTGCATTTTTTAAGTTTTTGTTGTCGATTTTTCAAATTCTCTATTTTTATTTCGTCAGTTTTTTCAGGTTTCAATGTTATAATTTTTAGATTTGACAGTTTCTCGGTTTTTCGATTTTTACATTTTCAACATTTCGGTATTTCAATTTTTTTTTATTGTTCAATGTTTCATTTTTTTCAAGTTTTCAGTTTTTTTACTTTACGATTTTCGATGTTTATTTTGACGTTCTTCAACTTTTGAATTTTACAATTTGTCGATTTTCCTATTTCTAGAAAATTTTGATTTCCGTATTTTCTATTTTTTTTTTTCAAATTTTCAGTTGTTTTTCAATTATCGAAGTTTTCAGTTTCTCAAGTTTTAATATTATAATTTTTAAATTTCTCGGTGTTCCAACTTTCGTTTTTTTCTATTTTTGATTTTCAATTTTGCAATTGTTCGATTTTTCTGTTTTTTTAATTTTCAGTTTTTTTTTCATTTTTAAGGTTGAATTTTTCCTTTTCCAATTATTGTAGACCTCTTAATTAATCGATTTTGAGTTTTGTTATTTTTGCAGTTCTTCGATTTCTCAATTTTTCAGTTTTACAATTTTCCGATTTTTTTGATTTTTTAAAATTTCATTTTTAATATGGTTGTCCTTTTCCAAGTTTCATTTCTTCGATTTTTATTTTCTCAATTCGAGATTTTTAAATTTTTGTTTTTTTTAATTGTTAATTTTTCAATTTTTCCGTGTTTCGTTTTTACATGTTTCGATTTCTCGATTTTTTTAGTTTTTCTCTTGGCTTTTTAGTTACCCGATTTTTCAGTTTCTGTATTTTTTCAAATCTTTGAATTCTCGGTTTTTAAATTTTTCGGTTTTTCAGTGTTTTTTCTTTTCGATGTATAATTTTTCAATTTTTCCGTTTCTTTTTTACAATTTCTTAATTTTTTAGTTTTCCGGTTTTCATTTTAAAATTTTTGGATTTTGAATTTTTTTTGTATTTGTGATTGTTTAATTTATATAAGTTTTTGTTTTTCGTTTTTTCAGTTTTTCACTTTCTCCATTTTTAATTAATCAAGGTTTTCTGGTTTTAATATTACAATTTTTCGATTTTTCAATTGTTTTTTCAATTATCCCATTGTTCAATTTCTCAATTTTTTCATTTTTCAATTCAATTCAAAATTTCGGTTTGGATCAATTTGTCCTGTTCTTGAACAATTAAAATATGACAAATCGAGAAAATGAAGAAACAAAAATCGAGAAATTGAAAAATTTAATATCGAAAAATTGCAGAATTGTTCCTTTTTGTCGATTTTTCAATTTCTCGATTTTTAATTGTTGCATTTTTTTAAAGTTTCGGTGTTACAATTATTGGATTTTGCAAAATTTTAATTTGGTTAAAATTGGAAATCAAGAACTTGAAAAATAGCAAAATTGTTTCGTTTTTACAATTTTTCAATTTTTCGGTGTCTGAATTTTTAAGTTTCTCGATTTTCATTTTGAAATTTTTAGATTTTTCATTTTAAAATTTTTGTATTCTTCATTGTTTCAACGATACAATTTTCCGATTTTCCAATATTTTAGTTTGGATAAATTTGTTCTTTTGCTGAAAAATAAAGAAACTAAAAGTTTAAAACTCAAAAAATTGTAAAATCGAAGAACTAACAAAGCAAAAAATGAAGAATCTTTATAATTAACAAATCTGTGCCGATTAAAAAAAATGCCCCCACACAATAATAAATATAAAAACAAATCGTATGGTTTTCCCTAGATCTATGGAATTGGAAATGAACACTTGAATACACACGATGAATAATATTTGAATTTGACGTCAATTTGAATTGTACGTTTCCAAATCAAAACAAAAAGTAAAAAATAGAGCAGAAATTTTTATTTATTTTCAAAAAGGAAAACAAGAAGTATATATTTTTTCGAGTGCTGTTGGCCAGTTACTGGGGCCGACGGCTGGGTCGCCTCTGAAACAAACAGAAAAATAATCAGTTAACAAGATTATTAAGAAATCAATTAAGTTACAGAACTAAGAGAACAAAAGCACAACAAACTTCAAAATTTTCAGAACGTAATTTACATTTACAGTTATTGCTTAAAACTTCCACATAAGGTGCAAATGTTTGATCACACAAAAATTTACAAAAAACAAAAATTATTATCCAACAACTCATAAATATTATTTCTAAAATGACGGTACAGAATTTTGTTCGAAATAGTTATTTTAATCACCCTTTAAAGTAAAGAGAACGACTGACGTGCTTTACTGAAATTGCATAATTGAACTCGAATATTAACAAAAGGACTACCAACCATGACTTGAACAAACTAATGTCAAAAAATCGAAAAGTATTTAACAAAAACCGCACTCACAAAAGAGGATACTTACGAGGTGCTGCTGAGCGCCGGCGACCACCGCGGGCGCGGCGCCCCCTTGCAAAATGGAGACGCCGCGCCTCCCGATAAATACGCTTGAATACGCTCGGGCGAAAAGGTGCCCTGCTCCTCCCCGTCTTCTTCGGAGGAGGAGGCCCCGAAAAAGACATCTATTTCGATGTCATCGAAACCTATAATCATGATACAAAAACACCATTAATCATCGCTAACAACCTTAAAGAAATAAAATGAAAATTACAAGAATTTATAAAGAAAAAATTATAAAAAGAAAATATACAAACAAAAAGTTACAAACCTTCGCGAAGCAGTCGCAACCGCTCCTCCTCCTCGTACCTGGCCGGTGGATTTATGAAGCTGAAACAATCAATTTATTTTTTTTTTTTAAATAGAACCAGTAATCATACAATGTAAAATAAAATAAAAAGAAGAATGATGATGAAAATAATAGACAACTAAGCAATGTAATCATATACCAAGATGTTCATACTTTCACATTCTAGCTAAAAGGCACAGAGTAAAATGAATCGAAAATCCGCAGAAAAGCTCTCCACTAGAAAATTAAAACACTGCTCCACCCAAACCACTTGAAAAAGTTGACCGCAAACCTAAGACACCATCTGTATAGATAAAGTATCTTAAGCCTAAAATTGCGTAAATTATAGAAAAAGATGCATCCCTTGTAGCAACCAATCCGGAACGATATCGTTATCACGAAAAGACCATATGTGAAACCCTTACACGAAACTAACAAGAAACCGTGAAAGAACAGCCAATATTCAAATATCTTAAAAGTTAACAGATTTAATTACTTAATATTTCAGTAATTCTCTTAGCAATCAAATAACCAACCTCTGTAGGAAACTGATAAATAACATTAATAACATTCAAAATTTCAATTTCAGTCTTGACTTAATCAATGAATAAAAATTTTTAAATCCGAGAAATTACAGTAAAAATTTTGTTGCTTCTTTCATATTACTGTTACATCAGAACATCTACTAAAACATTAAAGAGGGGTCCTTTTCTAATAAGCGCAAAAAAAAAAAAACTCAGTCGCCGGTCATCATACCGCGAGAAAGCTCCGGGTGACCGTCCGCATTCGATTCAATAAGAATTCGCTTCTGAATATACGACATGCATACGCACAAGAACAGAATACTAGCAAACAATTCGGGAATGAAACGACTAAACTAAGGAAATCAAATTATAACTAAAATATTGCGGAAATACAAAAAACAATGTAGAGAAAGAAGTATTGTACGACGAAAGAAAAAGCTCACACTCAGCACCTGTTCACAAAAACGGAGAATAATAACAAATCGCAAACGCAATGGTAAATTACTATGTTACGGCAGTTTTAAGTTAAATAAGTCTAGTTAGTACAATAGGAATAAGAAATAGAAAAGAATAGTTAATTAAGTTAAGCGCTACGTAATTTAAAAAATCATTAAGCGGGACAAATCAAAATAATAATTAATCGGGTTTGTTTACGTTCAAGAGAAAATTTTAAGTATAGCGATAACTCGCGCCACCTAGTAAGGGGTAGCGCACTTATGGTAAGGGTTAAAGACGTTCATGCGCGCAGAGAAGACCTCTGCACATACATAAAGAATTCGTCGGTAAAACTGAAAATGTGATGCACGTTTCGTCTTTAACAAATATAATTACAATCAACCAAAATAAAATTATGAAGGAAAAACTAGTCAATTTCATGGAACTGAATACGAGTAGTCAATTATCTCCAGAGTGTCCCTATTAAAAATATACTCACGTCGTCTTCGTCCTCATCCGACGTTTCGCTCTCCTCTAAAACCACTTCAGACACGCACTCCTCCCCGTTCATCTTCTGCTCAATCAAGCTCGCATCTTTAATATTCTCATTTTTGATTGGCTGGTTTTTGATATTTTTCGCCCTATACGCGTACCGCAACGTAATTATGGTGTCTTCATAGTTAACACTCGCGGGCCCGATGTTCGCTATCATTATCGTTCTACTGTTGCCCCCCAGCGAGTCCTGGAGCAACCTCGTCAACTTCGAGTCTCTATAGGGGATGTGCGCCGAATTTTCTGCTAGAGCATAGATGACATTGCCTAAACTTGAAAGCGCATTATTGATCTTGGTCGCTTCCTTGAACCTCTCCCCAGTGGCCCCCGTCTTTGCTTGCCTCTCACTGCCCGCCAGATCCACCAAGTTCAATTTGCCGACTTTGACCGACTTGGAGTGATGCTCGGCCATTTCTACGACGATCTGAAAGATGGCGTGCGATCTTGAACTGTTTTGGTTCATGTTAGTGGCGCCACTGGTTCGGTTTTTATTGCCTTGGCGCATGGCGCGCATCATGTCGTCGGCGCTTTGGCAAATTTGGGAGTGGAGGTGGGTCACGCAGCTCCAGGGACTTCCAATTCTTCATTTTCAAGAGGTCTCTATAAAACATAATAGTAGGCTTTGGTTAAATGTCATTCAGTGTAATTTTTTTTTTTCGAACAATGTCAAACATAGTGGGCTTTGCGTAAACGTCATTCTAGTACTGTCACCTTTTACAACAGTCGGGTTTGTTTTACCTTTTTTTTCTTAATATACATAGCCATCTTTTGACAACAAGAAACTTAGAACATAGTTAAAATGGTACATTTTTGTAGTTAATCAACTTAAATCCTCCGCTTTTCTTCTACAACTTCTTTAAATACGGCAAAAGTTGAACATCAAAGTTACTATCAACGGCAACTAGACAACGGAGTTTATAAACGACAATTTTCTGCTCTAAAAGTAACATCAGTGGGAACTTCAACGTCAACAACAAGATTATAAATCCCACTTGAGTCCGATTTAATCGCAGCACACTAAAGTACGTTGTCGAGGGGTAATCGAAAATAAAATTACTCATAGTTGGCCGTGCCTGTCAAACTTCGGGTGGTACTACTGCCGTCAGTTTGACAAAAAGAATCTCAACATCAACCAAATCATAAGTCAGACGTGTCAATTCCAGAGCACAGTTCCTACCATGATTTGTAACCAATGTTCAGAAACAAACAAAAACAGCGACTCTGACGATATCGTCAGAGTGGTTTTTGACTGTTGGTAATATTACCAACAGTCAAAAACCACAAGAACCCGTTTTTCTCAATGTCTACGACATGTATAAACTGAATGAATACACTAGCAACATTGGGTTCGGGGTATTCCATTCGGGAGTTGAAGTTTATGGAAGAGAATATGGTTATGGGGGCCACCACCACAATTACAGTGGAGTTTTTGATATGAAACCCGGAAATGAACAAATTCTCGGCGACTTTTTTAACATGAGAGGCCACCTACAATTTAGACAGACCATTCACATAGGGTATACAAGTTTCATTTTGGAAGAAGTAGAGATGATAAAAAATCGACTGGGAAGAAAATTCCGAGGAAATAAATACAACTTGATTAGTAACAACTGCAACCACTTTTCTGGAGCCTTTACAAAAATTCTGTGTAAGAAGAACATCCCTGGATGGGTCAACCGTTTATTTATTTATTTATTTATTTATTTATTTAATACAAAGTAATCCCACAGGCATTAGCCCAATTATTGGATTACATCACTAATAGGTAGGTAAACAGTAATAGTAATAATAACGATGAACAGCGCAAAATAGATAGTAAATACTCAATTAAATTTCCATAGTTTCAAAGATAAGCTTAATCTGACTAATGCTAGTAAAAAAAATGTCGATTTTGTGACCAATAAAGGAGTAGTTCCTAATAGCCTGATAAAGAGGGGAGGCCTTCATGATGTTAGTTCTCGGTGCTGCGATTTCAAATAGATTAGTATTCCGAAAACGTGCTGTTACTGTCCGAAACTTTAACATACTCAGTAACTGTGGGCAATCTATGTAGGAACGCACTAAATAAACCAGCATTAAAACAGAGTCCACCATTCTTCTTCTCTGAAGACTGTGTAATTCAAACCTTTTTAGAAGTAGGTCATGTGGAAAACCTTGATTCGGATAAACCCCATCAATCCTGTAGGCAAGGTATTTTAGGAAACGCCTTTGAATTTTTTCGATGTTAGAAACATGAATGTCATAAATAGAGCTCCAGATTCTAGATGCGTACTCCAACTTGGATCTTACGAAAGCAAGATACAAACCTTTTAATGCAACAATATCGTCGATTTCTTTTGAGTGTCGAATGACAAATCCTAACGATTTAAATGCCTTATCAGTAATTATGTATGTTAATGTGATCAACAAAATTCAATTTTGTATTAAACGTAACTCCCAAGTCACGAATTAAAGATTTACGTTTTATGACGTTATTGTCAAAACAGTAATCGTAATGAGTGTTGTTGATAATTTTGGAAAAGGACATTACATAACACTTATCACCATTGATGCAAAAGAAATTCTCCTGGCACCAATTAGAAATAATGTCAAGATTATTCTGAAGCCTGTCACAATCTTCGAACAATTTAATCTCTACAAAAATTTTCAAATCATCAGCAAACATTAAACAGTCGACTGTTAAGTACTTCGTTATATCATTGATATACATATTAAAAAGCAGAGGACCCAAAACAGAGCCCTGAGGAACACCTGAAGTTTGAGCATAAGAGTAAGAGTCGAAACCATTTAATGAAACATACTGAGATCTACCAAATAAGTATGATTTAATTAAGGCGATAAGAGAGTCTGATAATCCAAAGCTTGAGAGTTTACGGAGCAATGTATGGTGGTCAATGCGGTCAAAGGCCTTGGAAAAATCTATATAAATACAGTCAACTTGCCCTCGTCGATCTAAAACTTCAGATATAAATTGAGAAAATATTGTGAGATTAGTGACTGTCGACCGACCTTTCATGAAACCATGCTGCTTAGTTGTTATCATATTGGAGACGTGAGAATAAATAATATGATGGAGAATATATTCAAACACTTTAGCGAAATTGTTAATTATGCTTATAGGACGATAATTAGATATATCAGAACGATTTCCAGCCTTAAAAATAGGTGAGACACGTGAAACCTTCCACAGATCAGGAAATTGTGATGTTTGAAGAATTAAGTTAAAAATCAAAGTCAAGGGTCCGGCAAGTAGTATGGCACAGTCCTTTAAAAGAAAAGAGGGTATGGAATCAGGACCAGCAGTCATTGATGGCTTCAATCTCTTTAAAGCTTTCTGAACAACGGATTCACTAAACTGAGGTACATGCAGCATATTGATATTTAATGCTGACAAGCCTTGATCACCGATATCTTTAGCAGGAGATGTATTATGAATGAATGTTTTGGTAAAGAAATTTGCAAATGAATTAACAATTTGCAATGGGCTTTCAACGTTGTAGTTATTGTAGGTCATTACGGCCGGGATTGAGATATCGTTATTTTTGGCTTTAAGAAAATCCCAGAATTTTTTCGGATCAGATTTTATATTTCTACTGACATTTCTAATATAATTAGTGTACGCAATTTTAACCATTTTCTTTATTCTGGCCCTAATTGACTTAAAGTCATTGTAATCCGATTCAGATTTAGTACGCCTGCAGTTTCGCCAAAGTCGATTTTTTCTTTTCAACAAATTAATAATTGTGATGTTATACCATAACGGATATTTATTAGTTCGTCTTTGTTTCATCGGCACATGTTTATTAAAAATTGAAGTAAGATGATCATTCAATTGACTGACTGCAACATTGGGATCTCTAATACCGTTTAAAAAACCAAAGTCTAACTGGCGAATCTCGTCATATAAGAGAAATAAGTTCGCTTTTCTGAAATTATAGATCAAATTTGACTTGACTCCCAAAGGAACGGATTTCAACTTCGAAGTCGACAGAGTAAATTCTAAGGGTGGATGATAAGAATCAATTTTTGTGACAGGAACTTCAGATTTATTAATTTTTAGATGTAGATTAGAGATTATAAGATCTAATAATACGTTATTGCAGTTGACTACATCATTGTACTGGCTAAGTTCATAAAAATTCATAAAGTTTAGAAGAGCTGAGACTTTACTATTATCGGTAGCATTGATTTGACTAATTTCATAAAATTCAGGAATATTAAAATCACCGAGTATTATTATTTTAGCATTATAGAGACAATTTAACGCCATTAAACAGTTAAAAAATAAAAGATATTCATCCAGATGACATTTAGGTGGTATATAAACTAAAATCAGGTAAAAGAGTAACCCGACCGTGTCTCCACACTTCATAATTATCATATGTCAAAATTTTTTAGCTTACAAAAGTCATCATTAATTGTACAAATATCAATCTGGACAGCATTCAAGTTTTTACGAGTTGCTATCAGTACACCTTCGCCACGTGTTCTAGAAGTTTCACTAAAGTTACGATCAGCCCTAAAAACATTAAAGTAGTTTGTATCAAAAATTTCACGGTCGTTGACATTCGAACATAACCATGTTTCGGTAAATGCAAAAATATCATGTTCCATACTAATACTAGAAGTTAAAACCTCAATAAGTTTGGTATTCAAACCTCGCACATTTTGATAATAAATATCAATATTTTTAAGACGATGGTGTATTTCTGTACGATGTGCAGGAACGGTCGACTTTGACATTAATTGCTATTCTAAACTTAAGATGTTGTGTTTAAAATCAGAAACAGCTCTTTGATACATACGACAATTCTTTATAGATCCGAAGCGGCATGATCTGCTGGTAATTTTTCCGACTGGGTGGAATTCCATATAGTACAGTTTATGCAACACAGAGTTTCACTTTTGCACTGATTCAAAGAATGTTCCTGTGAACACCTGGGACAAGTTGGTTTTCGGAATGAACATTGTTTTGATAAGTGATTAAATAGCCAAACAATAATCAAGACCAACAATAAGGTGACCACTGTGTAAAATACTCTTATATGCCGCATTATCAACTTGGATTAACGCTTGCTGTTTTCGTTGTTGTCATTGCTTCTTTTACTTTTAATTTGTGTGAAATTAATTATATCACAGTCTTGACTACCAGGAAACAAATGTTTATTTTGCACCACTGTATAATTAGACAAAGTACCATTTTTGTACAAATCTTCAGAGGTAAAACCGACTATTCTGAGACGAGGTTTGAGCTTGGGTAATTCTTTAACAACGTAATTTTCACTCAGTTTATCAGTAGCTATGTTAGATATTTTGGTTGCATCTTCCTGATTGATGCATTTGATAATTAGGCTGCCATTTTTACCTGGCTTTGTATCGGAAAAAGTAACTCCAGCAGTAACCGGATCAACAGCTTGTAAAACATCAGTTTTTGTGACCGCAATATTTTGATTTTGATTTTTGGGTAGTAACATTACTGAAGCCACTTTACTATTATTTGCAACAGCCGCATATGAAGTTTTGGTATTGCCAAATTCGACAGTACCTGTATTACCCGAACAAGAATCCTTGAGTTCCTGAAATTTTGTATTTAAACAATCTAATAATTCCTTTTTAAACGCTTGTAATTGAGAATTAATAGCTACCGATTGATTATCCATAAAACTATCAACCTTAACATGCAACGATTGAACATCGGTATTTAAAGACGCAGTGGTTTCACTAATATTTTGTAAATAAGTTTTATCATACATGTTAGACACAAGTTTGCACGAATCACATAAATACAACAAATTTCTACTCTTTTCAAGCAACTTAAATTCTGCATCTGATAAATTAACACAAGAGTAGTGGAACCATCTGTTACAGACGCCTTCGCAACCCACAAGGCCATCCCTTTTAGAGGATTTGCACTTACTACAACCGGACATTATTCAACCATATCATACATTTGCAACAAACAATAATAACAGTGGGTTAGATGAAATATAAATACACAAAATTATCACTGGAATAAGTTTTTTTAGCAACGATAAAATAAAAGCGCTGCACAGTGATAACACCCGATGATAAAAAAAAAACAATGATACTATCTATATCACTCCTAGAATCGATCATACAGGGACAATACTTTTATATTATACTCCTATTGTTTATAATTTATAACTAACCTTATAGTTGGTATATTGGCAGTGATGAACGTGATATTCCACTTGCTGTCGGTACCAGTGATGAAGTGATATTCCACTTGCTGTCGGTACCTTTGATCTCGGCGGGGCGTGCGCATTACAGTTTAAAAAAACGGGCCCCTAGCGCATGCCGTATTGCCGCTTAGTACCTTCGTCGTAGTTGCCACATCGCCAACAAATCTTTGTAACGCATCCCGAGTCCCAAAATGATAAGTATCAATTTTACTGTATGGGCCGGACCACGAGTAAGCATACGGTATTTGTGCATAAGAACATTCAGGACTGCCAACTTCGAAAAACAGTTGGCCTGAAGAAATCCCTAAGCCTAGTGTCATTACAAAAAGGCGGGAAAGGCAAAAGATCATTAATTGCTGTCACTATAGTCTGAACGCGCTTTTTCTATATTCTTCCAGAATGGAATCCATAAAGTGTTCTGTCTGTGACAAACAATTTAATTTTGTTACTTCCAGGAATAGACATTTTAGGCGTTTTCACCGTGATCAAAGTGTTGGTGGGATTTGCAAAACAAAGATTTTTTGTCCAATGTGTGGGGATGAACCAGAGAGAAATTTGAAATCCCATGAAGAACTCAAAACTCATCTTGAAATAAAGCATAATATAACATTAGAGGTAGAAGAATTGATACTAAGTCATGAAGATTTTAAAAATTGGATTTGCGAAGAACGAAGAGATGTTAAATATATTAGTCGAAAGCAAAAGAAAGATGTGCGTTACCCCTATCAGCTGATATATTATAACTGCAACAGAAGCTACAATGGTACATTATTATTGTAATTTGTTAAGAATATATTGTATTATTGGACATTTTATGCTATGAAAGTAAAGCATTTAAGAGATTTCCAAAGGCAGGGGGTAGCAAGAAAATCTGTGGTACTTGTCCATCAAGAATCACTGCAAAAATTTTTGATGAAGGTATGTTATCTATGTGCACACTTTACTGTATATTAACTGCATCAATTGTTTATAGGAACAGTGAAAATTAAATATATAAAAACACATGTAGGACATGAAGATGAGCTGAGATATCAAGGGTTGACAAAAAATGAAAAACAAGAAATTTATTCAAAATTGAAGAATGAAGTATGTAAAAAGAGAATATTAGAAGATGCTCGGACCATTAAAGGGACTAAATTGGAAAGACTACACTTATTAACAAAAATGGATTTGAGAAACATGAGTCGAAGTTTATCAAAAACTAGAAATGCTGATGATATGGCTGCAACAACAATAAAGGTTTTGCATGAATGGAATCAAAGTGGCCAAAATTATGGATTTTTATTTAAACAAATTGGTAATGTATATGATTATTATTTTGTTAGCATGTGGTTTTTTACAATTAGGTAAAATTTTTGTTTAAAATCTGTGAATTAAGAGAAATATTCATGCATGTAGATTGTAGTTGGTGGTGTTGGTTGTTTAGCACATGCTTAGCTTGGCTTGTAGGGGAAAGGCATTCCATTCTTAGAGATGAAGATTTTGCAGTGGGCTTTATGAACCAGGTGATGGAATCTAAATTGAAACAATTCACAAATATTATTTGTATGGATGGGACGCACAACACAAATATTAGAGGATGGGAGTTAACAACAGTTTTAGTTAAAGATGATAGGGGTGTTGGTTTTCCCGTTGCATTTTTAGTGTCTAGTAGAAAAGATCAGTTAATTTTTGAAATTTTTTTAGATGCTTTAAAGAAAAAAGTTGGTGAAAAATTATGTCCCACCTATTTTATGACAGATGATGACCCAAAATATTATAATGCATGGATAAACGTTATGGAAACAAAACCAAGACATTTATTGTGTAGTTGGCACATTATAAAAAATTGGAACATTCAAGGCAAAGCAAAATTAAAAAATACAGAATTGAAGAAAAATATGAAGACCGAGATGGGAAAAATTTTAAAGGAAACAAATGAAGATAAATTTAAAGAGCTATACAACAGTTATTTTCAGATACTTTTTGAAGCGGGGGAAATTAATTTTTTGAATTATTTAAAAAAACATTATTTTCAGAATATGGAACGTATTAAAATGTGGGCTCACTGTTACAGACTAAATGCTGGGATCAATACAAATATGGCAATTGAAAGTCTGAACAAATTTATTAAATATGATGAGTTGAATAAGAAGAGAAATAAATAATACAATAGAGAAGTTATTGGATATGTTAGACAGAGTAGTGGAAGACAAGGAATGGAACAGAATAATAGAAACAGAAAGACCTTCTACAGAAACGTATCAAAGCAGAATTGTAAGAGACAGACATAGAAAAGCAGAAAATTTACAAAATATGGTGGAGGAAGTTGGTTTTGGAGAGTTTTCAGTAAGATCTAATTCCAATAAGATTTATAAGGTTGTGTATGGAGACAGAGTGTGTAGAAATGATTGTAGGCTCATGTATTGTGTAGTTTGCCAAATCTGTTTGCATCATTACAAATGTCAGTGTCCTGAATTTATGGTAAAAAATAATTTATGCAAGCACATGCATATGGTTGCTTTGTTTGAAAGGGAACGGTATGAATGTGGGTTAGGGCAGACTAAAGACACTTTTACAGATATAGAAGAACATAATTATTGCAAGAGAGTATTAATGGAAACAGAAAATGAACACAATTATTGTGATATGCAGAAAAATGAAGAAGTAAAAATGTTAATAGAAAATAATCAGCAAACACCGTTGCCATTGGATGATGAAACTTTTCGAAAATTAAAGCAGGAGTCACTTAATAATACTTTGAATGCACTTAACATAGATGATTTTAAAGAACTTATGAGCAATATCGATGGATGGTTAAGAAAAAAAAACGAGAAGAATTTAACAAAGAAAAGAGTGCAAGAGACGCAGCAATATTATCCCGTAAGTGAACAAATATGAAGCAACATTATTATGAACTGATTGGTTACAGAAACACTAGAGAAATGAGTGGATTTTTGTGACATGGGTTATTAATAGGTCCTCATAGAATCACCTTTATAAATAATAGGATGAGAATTTTATTTCTACAATTTAGTAATTATAATTTTTATTACTGCTACTATTACTATGTATTTTTCTGTTAGGTAAAGATGAATTCTGTTGTTGTATTTTTTGTTGATTCAGATTATTTCTATAAAGCAAATACAATTTTTTTACAAATACATTTTTATTTTACGCGTTTTTTGTATGTTACGCTTGATTGAAAATAGCACATTAATTAATAAAAAAACTAAAGTCGTATTATTAAGTTTCATTATGTTGGGTAAAAGACGCAACAATCATTGTTATAGAAGTAGGCTTAGAGAATGTTGTTAGATACGTAAGAGATTAGAATAAACAAATAATTGTAGAAGCTGGTTTTATTAATATTCTAAAACCAATATAAAACATGGCGCAGTCGTTGTAGTAGTTTGATGAACGAATAGTTATAGTTGAAGAAAATGGATATCAAACCGCCGAGAAAGTTTAGTTTTGAAGGAAATGTGCAGGAAAATTTCACAAAATTTATACGTCAATTTGAAGTTTATATGTTGGCAAGTGGTGGAAGCCTAAAAGAGGATCCAGTAAAAATTGCCATACTCCTTAATGTATTGGGAGAAGAGGGTATTGAAATATACAGTAACTTTGAGTTGACAGACGCACAGAAGAAAGTATATAAAACGGTCGTGGAAGAGTTTATGAAGTATGTTAATCCTAGGAAAAGCATAGTCTATGAAAGATTCTTGTTTTACAATCGAAAACAAGAGTGTGGTGAATCTTTCGATCATTTTGTGAATGATTTGAGGACTGCAGTTAAAAGATGTGAATTCAAAGACTCCGAAGAAATGCTACGAGATAGAATAATCTTTGGAATATCTGACAAAGAAGTACAGCAAAAGTTAATTGTTAAAGGAAGTGTCACCCTGGCAGATGTGGTCACCATGTGTAGAACAAATGAAGCAGCCAAGGGCTATATACAGACGGTGCAGACAGAAGGAGCGAAAGCTGTGGAAGCACTCCAGAAGAAGAATGCAAGTTCAGAAACTTATAAGAAGAAACAGCAAGACGATAGTCAGAAGAAACAAGAAACAGTAACGAGATTTTTGTGTACCAGGTGTAAAACAAAGCATTGTGTTCGTAATTGTCCTGCCTTTGGAAAGAAGTGTCACCGGTGTGGTAAAATGAATCACTTTAAAATTTGTTGTAGAGTTAAGGAAGTTAGAGAAGTTAAGAATGACGAATTCACTGCTAGTGGTTCAGAAGCAACGCTTATGGTGGAAGGCATTAAGAAATATTGTTCGGGTGTTAACACTGTTGGTAAAGCGTGGTATGAAGATGTAAAATTATGCGGTTCTGTTGTGAAAATGAAATTAGATACTGGGGCGGAGGTTAACACAATTCCAGAAAAGTTAGTAAGGCAACTCAAATGTATGAATAAGATAGTCAGGGACACAAAAATGTTGTTAGAGTCATGGGGAGGATATAAAATTAAGCCTTTAGGATTTATTGACTTGGACTGTACTGTTAAAGGTAAACGACACTTGATTAGTTTCTATGTGTGTAATAATAATAATCAACCTTTGTTGGGATTAAATGCGTGCATTCAGTTAGGTCTCGTCAAGAGAGTAAATAATTTAAAAACATTAACTGAAGAAAATTTTCTTGATGAAAATAAAGATTTGTTTGTGGGAACAGGTAAATTTGGGGGTGTACATAAAATATTGTTAAGAAAAAATGCGATCCCTGTTAACAGACCACCGAGAAGAGTCCCAATTTCAATTAAAAATAAATTAAAATTGACTTTAAATGATTTAGAACAAAAAGGTATAATAAGTAAAGTTAATAGACCAGTTGAATGGGCTAGCAATTTGGTTATTGTTGAAAAACCGAATGGTAGTTTAAGAATTTGTCTAGATCCAGCTGATATAAATAAAAATATCGAAAGGGAGTATTGCCTTATGCCAACAATGGAAGAAATAACTGCAAAATTGAAAAATAAAGTTTGCTATACTGTACTAGATCTTAAAGATGGTTTTTATCACGTGCAACTTGATGATAAATCACAGCAGATTTGTACATTTAGTAGTCCGTTTGGGTATTATCAATTCAACAGGTTACCCTTTGGTCTGAAAACAGCACCAGAGTTATTTCAAAAATTAAATACAAACAATTTTGGTGACATTGAGGGAGTTACTGTATATATTGATGACTTATTAATTGCAGGGGAGACTGAAGAAGAACATGATGCAATACTCAATAAAGTTATTGATAGAGCCAGAAAGTTAAATATTAAATTTAATCAAAGTAAAGTACAATATAGAAAAAGTCAAGTTAAATATTTAGGTCATTTATTTTCAAAAGATGGCATGCAACCAGATCCAGATAGGATTAAATCAATAATTCAATTAAAAGAACCCAAAAATAAGAAAGATTTACAAAAGGTATTAGGCATGTTTAATTATTTTCGAAACTTTTTGCCTAATTTGTCAGAAATTACAGATCCATTGCGAAATTTATTAAAAAATAATGTAATTTTTTCATGGACTGAACTACATCAAAATATTTATGATCAAATCAAAAATATGCTTACTGTAGCACCTGTGCTGACAAATTTTGATGATAAAAAAGAAATAACGATACATACAGATGCTTCTAAGAGTGGTTTAGGTTGTTGCTTGTTGCAAGAAGGAAGACCAGTCTCGTTTGCATCGCGTAGTATGACAACAGTAGAGCAAAATTATGCTCAAATTGAAAAAGAGTTTTTGGCTATGGCGTTTGCAGTAAAAAAATTTCATAATTATATATATGGCAAGCAAGTAACAATCTGTACTGATCATAAGCCACTGGTTTCAATAATGAATAAAAAAATTGCTGACATCATTTCTCCTAGGTTGCAGAGAATTAAATTAAAACTGGTACGGTATGATATAAAATGTGAGTATATGCCAGGAAAATTTTTACATGTTGCTGATTTGTTGTCCAGAAATTATTTAAATGATCCAGTGGAAGATGATGAATCGATGCTTGAAGTAGTACATAACATACATGCAATTGTAAACATTTCAGAGAATAAAAAAGTAACATTTCAAAAGGAAACTCAAGCAGATCCTGTTCTAAATAAAGTAAAAGAATATTGTTTAACTGAATGGCCCAATAAAATACATGATATTGATGACAATTCCAAAATTTTAAAATTTTATCACAGTGTTAAAAACGACTTGACTATTGTTGACGGAATAATTTTGTTTAAAAATAGGTTGTTAGTACCACCAAGTTTACGTAGAAGTATGTTGAATTTACTTCATGAAAGTCATTTCGGTGTTAATAAAACTTTAAGTCGAGCAAAAGAAGCATTATACTGGCCAAATTATGATAAAGAGATTATCACATTTATTAAAAGTTGTAAAATTTGTGAATCAAACCGTTCATCAAATGTAAAAGAACCATTGATAAGTCATCCTTTACCGGGTAGACCATTTTCTAAAATAGGATCAGACATATGTGAATATGCAAAGAATAATTATTTAATAATTTTTGACTATTACTCTAAATGGCTTGATGTAGTTCCAATTAGAGAGAAAAACTCAATTGAATTGATAAAACAGTTTAAAAAATTTTTTGCTAACTTTGGAATACCGGATTTACTGATAGCTGATAATATGCCATATTCTTCTTATAGTTTCAAAAAATTTTCGGATGAGTATGGGTTTAAAATAACAACAAGTAGTCCACATTATCCTAGAAGTAATGGGTTTGCAGAAAGTGGGGTAAAAATAGCCAAGTCACTTTTAAAAAAGAGCTGTGAGTTAACAACAGGTTTAATGTCTTACAGATCGACAAAAATTGTTGGTGTAGGTCTATCTCCTGCAGAATTAGTTTTTAATCGAAACATCAAAACCAAACTGCCAGTTCCTCAACGTACTTTAGAATTTAACACAGTTGATCCAAACAATGTAATCAAGAAATTACACACCAAACAACAACAGACAAAATACTACTATGACAGGACTACAAAAGCTAAACCTAATTTTGTGAACAATCAAAATGTTACCTTACAAAAGGGAGGTAAATGGGAGTCGGCAAAAATTGTAAATAAATGTAATGAACCTAGGTCATATATTGTAAAAGATAGGAAAGGCCAATTGTTGAGAAGAAATAGTATACATTTAAGGGATTCTCTTAACGAATACGTTCCTATTATTAACTGTGACGACAATGACGATGACAAATTTATAGATGTATCAAAGCAAAGTGTTAGTCAGAGACAACGAAGAACACCCTCGCGATTTAAAGACTATATTTTGTACTAATTGTTAAGTATTAGAATTAAGAAGGGGGGTGTTATAGAAGTAGGCTTAGAGAATGTTGTTAGATACGTAAGAGATTAGAATAAACAAATAATTGTAGAAGCTGGTTTTATTAATATTCTAAAACCAATATAAAACAATCATATACAATTATAATCACATACTTAAGTTGGTTATTCAATGCAAGTAGGTATGTCTGGAGGAAAGCATGATTATACAGTTTTTGGTGTGACCCTAAGTACATTAATATTAAATTTTAAGACAGGTTATACGCAAACACAAACGATGATCAACTTATTATGAATTATATTTATCATTTCGATACAAATTCTGTTGTGATAACTGGGGGTTAATCCTTTTGGTAATTCGATGAGATTACATATATTTCAATTTGCCACATTTTTTAAATGACAAGTGTAAACACCTACGTTTGAATTTACCGGGTTTTTCAGTGACAGCTTAGGCATGCGCATACATACAGGTTCTTCGGCACAAATACCGTATGCTCCGGAAGGTTTTATTGAAAAATGAGTGAAATTAGAATTAAATTTAATAAACAAAAACATGGTACTGACTTTTAAACTACGCGCTTGCTCGTTAGTTGGGCCACTACGACACCAGGTGGTTCTACTTTTTGTGTTTCTTGAAATTTGTAGGGACTTTGCATTTCTGGTTGGCATGCGTGTGGAAATTAATGTATGCTAATTTTAATGCACAAGTCGAAAGACAAATTTTTAAAGTTGTCGAAATTATGGTGTTTTATTATGGAGTCTGACGAGCAAAACCAAGATTTGGAGCGAAAAGTCACCGTCGAAAACCTCAACATCGAAATCTTGCCCATTATTTACGAAATCATCCGCAGGTAAGGTTATGTAGCAACTAGATAAAAATAGAGCCAAACATCAGTGGTGACACTTGCGTAATCGTTTTTGATAATTTTAGTGTGGAGAAGGACCACCACGATAATACTGCTAAAACGCGAGAATCGCAAGACTGCTCCCAGAAAGTCCTCGAGTTGCAGAAGCGCCTGGACCAAGCCAGAGCCGAGGTAACAACTTTTCCAAGTTGGCGGCACCAAACTCGGTTTTTTCCAGATACGCATGCTACCAGGGATCGACTACAGCAAAGAGCAGCAGCTGCACCACCTAGAAGCCTTGAAAACCCAGCTGAAGCTCAAACAGGAACTGCTGCGCAAATATCGCTACATGTACACCTTTGAAATCCCCAAATAAAATGGTGTTGCGCTTTTTAATCCGACTGCTCGCCAACAACGAACAACTAGTGCAAAAACTGAGTGAGTCGTACCCCATGAGAAAGGCGGCCCAGATTCTAGTGCGTGCGGCGTTCCAAAGCAAGAACTTGATAGAAGAGAAGGGTTTGAACAAAATGTTGACCCCCGAAGAGTTCAGAGAAACCATGAAGAAAGTGGCGCGGAATTTCCAAAACCAGATAAAGCAAGCGAGCGACGAGTTCAGACAAAAGAAGTAACACCATGGCTAGTTCTGTAGTTTTTATTGGTTCTCCTGAAAAAAGTCCGAAAAATTTTAAACACATAGTTAAGCAGTTGTTCTTTGTTGCTCCTGGTGATGTGATTTTTCGGATTTTTGCGGCGTTCGTGCCGCCGATTACGAAAAAGTATCAAAAGGTGTACGTAGATTTACTGGGGCCTTTGTTAGGTTTGTTAATTTTGGCCGCTTTCGTAAACTATGGGTATAAGTTTAAAGTTGTGACGGCGGGGCAGTCGCCGACTGAGACCGTTTTGGTTTATAGTGCGTTGATGCCACTTTTGTGTTTTATGTTGTGTAAAATGGGACGTTCGCGGATTACGGTGTCGGAAACCGCGTCTTTGATCGGTTACGGTCTTTACGGCCACATTGTGACTTTAGTTTTCTCGTTTTTGTGTTTTCAGGAGCGCAGTAATTTCTTTTTCTTTGTGTGTTTGACGGTTTTCGGGGGTTTGAGCACCCTCAGAATCGCGCTAGTTATTCTAGGGACTTTGGTCGCGCCTGCGGCGCGACTTCTAGTGTGTTCTGTTGTGTCAATAGCGAATATTTTGTTTCTTATTTTCGTGCATTTCGTATACATGCATCGCACTTTTACACACGAAGCGTACGCTCCTTAGAGTGAGATGGCGGAGGAATGTTGAACAATAAAATAAATTACTATCTATTTTCAGCATTTTACAATTCAAAAATATTCACTGGACAATCCTTTTTTACCACTCCAAAAGAAAGAAACTTCTAGAAAAATGTGCATATTTTAGGAAAATAGATTTATTGCACTTTAGTCGCGTTTAAGTTTGAAATTGAATTGATGTTGGGTTCGGTGAGAGGTTTTGGAGTGTTGGAGTTGGCACCACTGTTTTTACCACGTCCTCCTCGTCTCCCTCGCCCTTTCCTTGAACCAGACTTCTGACCGGTGTTCTCGCGCTTGTCGCTGCTGCCCTCGAACGCAGTTTCGCCGGTCGCCGTTCCAAGCTCTGCAAACTAGTTTACACATTGTCAGTAGTACCAGTGTCGGACACAGGGAATTTTTTTCTTTTCTTAATATACATAGCCATCTTTTCACAAGAAACTTAAAACATCGTTAAAATGGTACATTTTTGCAAAGAAATATATTTTAGATGTTTCCTTATAAAAATTTTCCATTTTAAACATGTTTTAAGTTTCATGTTGTGAAAAGAAGTCTACACCTATTAAAACGAAAAGGCAAAATGTAAGCCCGCCCACCCGCCCTATCTCCATTGTGATGATTTTGTTATTCGCTGTGAAGCAAGAGGGCGGAGCTTAACTGCAAAATACTATTTCTTTACAAGAAGTCTTATCTTATCAAGTACTAGCCCCGCCCACCCTCCCCTTATTTATTCAGAGGATATGTCATCTGCCAGAATCAGTCTTATCTTACCAAGTACTAGCCCCGCCCACCCTCCCCCTATTTTTTCAGAGAATATGTGATTTGCCAAAATAAGACTTATGTTAGCAAGTACTAGCCCCAGATAAGTCTTATTTTGGCAAATAACATATCCTTTGAGAAAATAGGGGTGGGTGGGCGGGGCCAATACTTGCTAAGGTGAGACTGATTTTGGCAAATGCCATAAAAGGACTCGGATTGGATTATCGGACTTTTTAGATAAAATTTCTAAACTTAAATCAGTAGAAAATAAAACGGTACGTTTCACCCCACATTTTTTTTTTCATCTATTTAAGCTTTTTTACCTGTTTTTTCATCTATTTAAAGGTACTTTATCATGTTTTAAGCAAACAGGCCAATTTTCACGTTGAAGTTTTTTATTGCTTTTTTATAAAATAAAAAGTCAATTTTTGCTGTGAAGTTTTTTTAATGCAACCAGATTTTTATTTAAAGTCGTGGACTTCTAAAGATTTTGACCATGATTCCAGTGGATTCATATAGAAACCACTTACTGAGATGTTTCAAAAAAAAAAAAAAAAACAACGTCAAAATTGGCCTATTAAAAATCATAAGTCACCTTATAAATTAAAAAAAAAGTGGGGTGAAACGTACCATTTTACTTACTACTTTGTCCCTTTTTTTTTGGTATTACATATTTAATTTTATAGGATTGCATACTCATGTGTGATTCATGAATCCGTGTCGGGTTTTCACCCTAGACATCCAGATTTTTGGAGAATAAATCAAAATTGTGTAACATTTTACAACTTAACTTTGAAATTGTAAAACCAAACGAATAAAAAAACGATGAATAAAAAAATCATCACAATTGAGACAGGGTGGGTGGGCGGGGCTTATATTTTGTCCTTTTTTCTTAATATGTGTAGTCATCTTTTCACAACAAGAAACTGAAAACATATTTAAAATGGTAAGTTTGTACAGAAATATGGATTATGCAATTACGCTCCGCCCCTCAGCTTACGACTAATAAAAAAATCATCAGAATTGTGACAGGGCGGGTGGGCGGGGCTTATATTTTGCCTTTTTTTTCTTAATATACATAGCCATTTTTACACAAGCAACTTAAAACATGGTTAAAATGGTACATTTTTGCAAGAAAATATGGATTTTGCAATTATGGGGGGGAGCCTAATAGCAAAATCGATATTTCTTTATACAAATTTTCCATTTTAAACATGTTTTATGTTTCATGTTATGAAAACAAGTCTACACATATTAAAACGAAATGGCAAAATGTAAGCCCGCCCACCCGCCCAATCTACATTGTGATGATTTTTTTTTATTCGCTGTGAACCAAGTGGGCGGAGCGTAACTGCAAAATAATTATTTCTTTACAAGAAGTCTTACCTTAGCAAGTACTAGCCCCGCCCAACCTCGCCTTATTTATTCAGAGGGTATGGCATCTGCCAGAATCAGTCTTATCTTACCAAGTACTAGCCCCGCCCACCCTCCCCCTTTTTTTTCAGAGAATATGTGATTTGCCAAAATAAGACTTATGTTAGCAAGTACTAGCCCCAGATAAGTCTTATTTTGGCAAATAACTTATCCTTTGAGAAAATAGGGGTGGGTGGGCGGGGCCAATACTTGCTAAGGTGGGACTGATTTTGGCAAATGCCATAAACTTTAAGAAAGGACTCGGATTGGATTATCGGACTTTTTAGATAAAATTTCTAAACTTAAATCAGTAGAAAATAAATTGGTACGTTTCACCCCACATTTCTTTTTTTTTTCATCTATTTAAGCTTTTTTACCTGTTTTTTCACCTATTTTAAGGTGCTTTATCATGTTTTAAGCAAACAGGCCAATTTTGACGTTGAAGTTTTTTTATTGCTTTTCTATAAAAATAGTTAATTTTTGCCGTGAAGTTTTTTTAATGCATTTTTTTAACATTTAACCAGATTTTTATTTAAAGTCGTGGACTTCTAATGATTTTGACCATGATTCCAGTGGATTCATATAGAAACCACTGACTGAGATTTTTCTAAAAAAAATTAAAAAAAAAACACTTCAACGTCAAAATTGGCCAATTAAAAATGATAAGTCACCTTATAAATTAAAAAAAAGTGGGGTGAAACGTACCATTTTACTTACTAATTGTTCCTTTTTTTTTGGTGTTACATATTTAATTTTATAGGATTGCATACTCCTGTATCTGTGATTCATGCATCCGTGTCGAGTTTTCACCCTAGACATCCAGATTTTTGGAGAATAAATCAAAATTGTGGAACATTTTACAACTTAACTTTGAAATTGTAAAACCAAACGAATAAAAAAAACGACAAAAAAATCATCACAATTGAGACAGGGTGGGTGGGCGGGACTTATATTTTGTCTTTTTTTCTTAATATGTGTAGTCATCTTTTCACAACAAGAAACTGAAAACATATTTAAAATGGTAAGTTTGTACAGAAATATGGATTATGCAATTACGCTCCGCCCCTCAGCTTACGACGAATAAAAAGATCATCAGAATTGAGACAGGGCGGGTGGGCGGGGCTTATATTTTGACTTTTTTTTTCTTAATATACATAGCCATTTTTTCACAAGAAACTTAAAACATGGTTAAAATGGTACATTTTTGCAAGAAAATATGGATTTTGCAATTATGGGGCGGAGCCTAATTGCAAAATCGATATTTCTTTATACAAATTTTCCATTTTAAACATGTTTTATGTTTAATGTTATGAAAAGAAGTCTACACATATTAAAACGAAATGGCAAAATGTAAGCCCGCCCACCCGCCCTATCTCCATTGTGATGATTTTTTTTATTCGCTGTGAACCAAGTACTAGCCCCACCCACCCTCCCCTTATTTATTCAGAGGATATGTCATCTGCCAGAATCAGTCTTACCTTAGCAAGTACTAGCCCCGCCCACCCTCCCCTTATTTATTCAGAGGATATGTCATCTGCCAGAATCAGTCTTATTTTACCAAGTACTAGCCCCGCCCACCCTCCCCCTATTTTTTCGGAGAATATGTGATTTGCCAAAATAAGACTTATGTTAGCAAGTACTAGCCTCAGATAAGTCTTATTTTGGCAAATAACATATCCTTTGAGAAAATAGGGGTGGGTGGGTGGGGCTAATACTTGCTAAGGTGAGACTGATTTTGGCAAATGCCATAAACTTTAAGAAAGGACTAGGATTGGATTATCGGACTTTTTAGATAAAATTTCTAAACTTAAATCAGTAGAAAATAAATTGGTACGTTTCATTCCACTTTTTTTTTTCATCGATTTAAGCTTTTTTACCTGTTTTTTCATCTATTTTGAGGTACTTTATCATGTTTTAAGCAAACAGTTCAATTTTCACGTTGAAGTTTTTTATTGCTTTTTTATAAAATAAAAAGAGTCAATTCTTGCCGTGAAGTATTTTTAATGCATTTTTTTAACGTTTAACCAGATTTTTATTTAAAGTTGCGGGCTTCTAAAGATTTTGACCATGATTCCAGTGGATTCATATAGAAACCACTGACTTTGAGATTTTTCTAAAAAAATTAAAAAAAAAAACACTTCAACGGCAAAATTGGCCTCTTAAAAATAAAAAGTTACCTTATAATAAATTAAAAAAAAAAAAAAGTGGGGTGAAACGGACCATTTTACTTACTAATTTGTCCCTTTTTTTGGTATTACATATTTAATTTTATAGGATTGCATACTCCTGTATGTGTGATTCATGAATCCGTGTCGAGTTTTCACCCTAGACGTCCAGATTTTTGGAGAACAAATCAAAATTGTGGAACATTTGACAACTTAACTTTGAAATTGTAAAACCAAATGAATAAAAAAACGATGAATAAAAAAATCATCACAATTAAGCCAGGGTGGGTGGGCGGGGTTTTATATTTTGTCTTTTTTTTTCTTAATATGTGTAGTCATCTTTTCACAACAAGAAACTTAAAATATGTTTAAAATGGTAAATTTGTACAGGGAAATATGGATTTTGCAATTACGCTCCGCCCCTCGGCATACGACGAATAAAAAGATCATCAGAATTGAGACAGGGCGGGTAGGCGGCCTTATATTTTGCCTTTTTTTCTTAATATACATACATCGCCATGTTTCATGTTGTGAAAAGAAGTCTACACAAATTAAAATAAGAAAGCAAAATGTAAGCCCGCCCACCCGCCCACCCGCCCGGTCTCAATTGTGATGATTTTTTTTATTTGCCTTGAACCAGGGGGGCGAAGCTGAACTGCAAAATACTTATTTTTTAGAAGGAATTAAAAACATGTTTTTTAAGTATCGTGTTGTTCAAAGTATGTATATTAAGAAAAAAAAAGGTAAAATATAAACCCCGCCCACCCACCCCATCTCAATTGTAATGTTTTTTTAATATTAGAAACTTAAAACGGTAAATTTTTGTAGGGAAATATGGATTTTGCAATTAGTCTCCGCCCCTCGGCTTACAACGAACAAAAAAAAAATATCATCGGAATTGAGACTGGGCGGGTGGGCGGGGCTTATATTTTGCCTTTTTTTTTTCTTAATATACATGGCCTTGTTTCATGTTGTGAAAAGAAGTCTGCACATATTGAAAGAAAAAGGCATAATATAAACCCCCGCCCACCCACCCCATCTCAATTGTAATGTTTTTTTTAATATTAGAAACTTAAAACACATTTAAAATGGTAAATTTTTAGGGAAATATGGATTTTGCAATTAGTCTCCGCCCCTCGGCTTACCACGAACAAAAAAAAATATCATCGGAATTGAGACTGGGCGGGTGGGCGGGGCTTATATTTTGCGTTTTTTTTTTCTTAATATACATCGCCATGGTTCATTTTGTGAAAAGAATTCTACACATACTGAAAAAAAAATGCAAAGTGTAAGCCCGCCCACCCGCCCTGTCTCAATTCTGATCATTTTTTTTGTTCATCGTAAGCCAAGGGGGCGGAGCTTAATTGCAAAATCCTTATTTCTCTACGAGAAATTAAAAACATGTTTTTGAGCATCGTGTTGTTCAAAGAATACTATGTATATTAAGAAAAAAAAGACAAAATATAAACCCCGCCCACCCACCCCATCTCAATTGTGATGATTTTTTTATTCTTAGAAATATAAAACACGTTTAAAATGGTGCATTTTTGTTGGGAAATGTGGATTTTGAAATTAGGCTCCGCCCCTAGGTCTAGCAACGAATGAAAACTTGAAACTTGATTACTACATATTTAAATCAGGGCAGGTATGGGTGGGGCTTAATCTTTGGCTTTAATTTTTTCTTAATATACTTAGGATTCTTTGAGCAATAGGATACGCAAGAACATATTTTTAAATTCTCGCAGAGAAATAAGGATTTTGCAGTTAAGCTCCGCCCCCTTGGCTCACGACGAATAAAAAAATCATCACAATTGAGATAGGGTGGGTGGGCGGGGCTACATTTTGCCGTTTTTTTCTTAATATGTCTAGACTTATTTCGACAACAAGAAACAATCGTTAGTGAAAATTTGCCCGTCATCTTACATTATTGCCGAATTTCTTCAAATTTATGAAAAAAAAAAACTGAGTATGAATTAATCAAATCAATCTTTTCCTCTGCGTTGACGACACAAAATTAACCAAATTTAATTTTCTTTTAATCTCTGATGTTTGTGCTAGTAATCGAATTCGGTCGAAGTATAAACATAAACAGTCGAAGTTAAGCATAGTAGTACCAACTTACAAACAAAATCCATGACCTACTAAATATTAAACATATATATTTCGAGTAAATTGCGGCGTTCGTGGATCTTTTTTATTTATGCAGACGATACTCACTTCTTGTAGACCCGACTGCGCATGACTCTTATTACTCGTCATATTTCCGCCGCCGTATCTCTGCTGTTTGTTCTGTTTCGTGCGTGCATTTGGATGGGTTGGGGTGGTCTGGGTGATTATTCGTACGATATTACCAACGGCCTTGGTACGCCCTTCGCGGAATACCATTCTCTGACCCGGAGTCATATACTCCGGGTGTTTGATGAACCGGAAATGGATGATGGCTTTGTCGCCCGTTCTTAGACACTCTTTTGACATTTTGACAATACTGGCGGTTTGACGAATACTGCCGCAATGAACTGGAACCGAGTCTCAGAAAAATGACCCCAATGGAGAAAGAACTCACCCATCGCTTGGTAGCGCGAACTGATGGTCGTTGGGTGGTGCAGAACCAGTATTTCACCTTCGAACTCCCAGCAAGCCTGGGGGTTGAGGGTGGGGGAAACCATAACCATGCCTTTTCTAATTTGTGAACGTTTGATCTACAACGCAATAGGTTTTTTAGTTGTTTTTAGGAATTTAAAATTAATTAAAGTTGGTATACCTTTTTTAAAGCAAAACTGGCGGTCTGACCTGCGCGTACTTCTTTAACGGCCATTCTTTTCCGGTGAATACTTTTAACGGCGATTTGTTGGAAGTGTCCTAAAGGATCTGGTCCTAACATCAGGGTGTCATTGAGTCTAATAACCCCTTTGAGTGTGGTCCCCGAAACTACAGTTCCTACACCCTTAGGAAAAAAAAAACAATTAGGTGCCCTTGATACACCTGGAGAAATCTTACTGGAACAGAATATGTATCGTCGATTTGGAATTCCGCAGGTTCGTTCTCGTGGTATTCCATTCTGGTCGTTAGGAGGTTGAGGAAAATTTTTAACAACTCCAAATTTTCGCCGGAAACGTTTGACACTTGAAAAATAGGGCACAATCTGGGGGTTTTTAGTTTAAAAAATTACACACAAAAAAGGATGTTGTATACCTTTCAGAAACGAAGTTGGTAGCACTTAGAATGACGTCATCGGTGGTTTTAACCATCACGGGTACTTTTCTACAACCAGGCGACTTCAGGATTCTGATCAACATTTTTAAATTATCCTGGAGGACGTTGGCGGGGCACATGTCAATTTTTGTCACCACGACAAAAACCGGCACGGACAATGCAAGCGCTAACCCTAGGTGCTCTTTCGTCATCCCAATAATCCCAGCGTTAGCACCAACCTCAAAAAAAAAAAAAACACTATATACTGGTGTTTCAGTCGCGTTTTGGGAGCAATGTGACGCAATTAAATTTCGTGTATCTAAAAACCGCCATTTCTAATTACCATCAGCATGCCAAAATCAGGCGCGTGTCCCGTCATCCCAAAAACCGTAGTTTTCAAGTACCTCTCGTGCCCCGCCAAATCGATAAACGTGATCACTTTCGAGCTCTTCTCGCAAATTTTAACCCAATCCAGCGCCCCATGCTCCGGCTTATTAACCACGTTCCCTGAAACGATCAACTCCTTCCCACACCCATGCACATAACTCAACACAAACCTTCTCCATCAAAACCCAGAATGTCGTTCCCGACGGAACTCGTCCTCCCGGACTCCATCTCGTGCTTGTGCCGGAAGAGCTTCTGTCTCGCGTGACCGCGCCCGTTGTCGAGCTCGCCGTGCGTCAGCACCCCCAGGAGGGTGGACTTCCCGGCATCTACATTCCCGACTACGGCCACCCGTATTTCCAAAAAGTCTGCCTGCCCCAGGACCCTCCGGATGAGGTACTGCGCCACGATCCCCCGCACGTCCTTTCGCTCGCGGAGTTTGACGCAGCTGCACTCGAGAGTCGTGGCTAGGGACTGGAGCGTGGCGACGGCGGCTTCGAGCTCGTCGTCCAGGAAGCCGTTCTCGCTGCCGTCTTCAGACGCTCCAATCTGGAGAGCGCGGGAAAATTATCATGCAAAATTCAATTCGTGGTGTACCTCTAGGATGACTTCGCCTCTACCCTCTCCCAGTTGTTGCTTCAGTCGCTGCAGGAGCAGCTCGAACTGTTCTTCAGTCGGCGCGACGAGGATATTGCGCCCCAAAGCCTTGTCGAAGTCCGAGTTTTTTTGAGCTTTCTCCACAAACGAACTTAGTGTCTCTTTGTTCTCACTCATTTTTGTTGTTTGACCGGAATTATCGGCACTTGTGCACCCAAAACTTGAATCCAGAGTAGTTGGTGTTTATTCTTTGGATTTGCATTCCTGGCGCTCTAAAACAGTTTGGGGGCATTGTGATAAGAACTGGAGTGGAGTGGTGGAGTGGCAGCTTATATAGACTGATCAAAATATGCGATTATCTTGAAATTGTTGTGCATATGGTGCAACTTTATATAACAGTGCGGATGGCGGGTTTGCCCAATGTTACACATATTTCGTCATTCTATATGGGTAAAACGCGTTGTTTGTTACTATCAGTGATAACAATTTTTCGGTTTCATTCATCACAAATACACATATTTACATTTTTAAAGCTTATTAGAAAACAGCTACCAACTTTACACGTGAAATGTCAACTTGTGTTGTGACAGATTGCGTAGCCAACCGAAGCGAATCAAAAGCGGAAATCCCAAGTAATTGTTTAAAAGCTTTGTTGTAATTATTGAATAAACGTAATTGTATTGGGATAATAATGGTACATTGATAGATCGAAAAAAGTTTCCGCTGAACAAATGTGCCTGAAGTTGATGTAATGTCACTTTAAATTAATCTCGACGTTTTTATCATGGCCGACTAGTATAAAGATTATGGCCTGTCCAAAGGAATGTCAAAGGTACATTACGTGCTGCCATCTATTAATAATTCAAAAACGACAAAAGAATTATTAACACCTTTTGAAAGGCACAAAGGCATTCATACCCAAACAAACCACCATTACACGTTTTGAAGTCCCATAATGTCAAGTCAAATTAAAATTTTGCTAAATTATTAAGTGTAATTATTAATAGATGGCAACACGTATCGTACCTCTTGGACAGGCCATAATCTTTATACTAGTCGGCCATGGTTTTTATTAAGACATACACGATACACGTATTATTAACTATGTATAATTGGTTGCATATATGTGTGTTAGTCTACGATTATCTAGCTATTAGCAACTAAATACATTTTCTTGTAGATTTCGGGCCGCAGAAGTCATATCCGCTTTCATTTCTTCGATAACTCCAATGGTTTTTCCAGAATCGTCCTTTGAAATATTCAAAAATATGATAAATTCGCCCAATTTTTGACCAATTTTCAACAAAATTTTCTAAATTTCACTAAATACATTTTCTTGTAGATTTCGAGCCGCAGAAGTCATATCCGCTTTCATTTCTTCCATAACTCGAATGGTTTTTCCAGAATCGTTTTTGGAAATATTAAAAAATATGCAAAATTCGCCCAATTTTCGACCAATTTTCATCAAAATTTTCGAAATTTCACTAAATACATTTTCTTGTGGATTTCGGGTCGCAGAAGTCATATCCGCTTTCATTTCTTCCATAACTGGAATGGTATTTCCAGAAACGTCATTTGAAATATTCAAAAATATGCTAAATTCGTCCAATTTTCGACCAATTTTCAACAAAATTTTCGAAATTTCACTAAATACATTTTCTTATCGATTTCGGGTCGCAGAAGTCATATCCGCTTTCATTTCCTCCATTACTCGAATGGTTTTTCCACAATCGTGCTTTGAAATATTCAAAAATACGCAAAATTCGCCCAATTTTCCATCAATTTTCAACAAAATTTTCGAAATTTCACTAAACACATTTTCTTGTAGATTTCGGGCCGTAAAAGTCATATCCGTTTTCATATCTCCGATAACTCCAATGGTTTTTCCACAATCGTCCTTTGAAATATTCAAAAATTTGCAAAATCCGCCCAATTTTCGACCAATTTTCAACAAAATTTTCGAAATTTCACTAAATACATTTTCTTGTAGATTTCGGTCCGCAGAAGTCATATCCGCTTTCATTTCTTCCATAACTCGTATGGTTTTTCCAGAATCGTATTTTGAAACATTCAAAAATATGCAAAATTCGCCCGATTTTCGACCAATTTTCAACAAAATTTTCGAAATTTCACTAAATACATTTTCTTGTAGATTTCGGGCCGCAGAAGTCATATCCGCTTTCATTTCTTCCATTACTCGGATGATTTTTCCAGAATCGTCCTTTGAAATATTCAAAAATATGCAAAACTCGCCCAATTTTCGACCAATTTTCAACAAAATTTTCGAAATTTCACTAAATATATTTTCTTGTAGATTTCGGACCGCAGAACTCATATCCGCTTTCATTTCTTCCATAACTCGAATGGTTTTCCAGAATCGTCCTTTGAAATATTCAAAAATATACAAAATTCGCCCAATTTTCGACCAATTTTCAACAAAATTTTCGAAATTTCACTAAATACATTTTCTTGTAGATTTCGGGCCGCAGAAGTCATATCAGCTTTCATATCTTCGATAAGTCAAATGGTTTTTCCAGAATCGTCATTTGAAATATTCAAAAATTCGTAAAATTCGCCCAATTTTCGACCAATTTTCAACAAAATTTTCGAAATTTCACTAAATACATTTTCTTGTAGATTTCGGGCCGCTGAAGTCATATCCGCCTTCATTTTTTCGATAACTCCTATGGTTTTTCCAGAATCGTCCTTCGAAATGTTTAAAAATATGCAAAATTCGTCCAATTTTCGACCAATTTTCAACAAAATTTTCGAAATTTCACTAAATACATTTTCTTATCGATTTCGAGTCGCAGAAGTCATATCCGCTTTCATTTCTTCGATAACTCCTATGGTTTTCCCAGAATCGTGCTTTGAAATATTGAAAAATATGCAAAATCCGCCCAATTTTCGACCAATTTTCAACAAATTTTTCGAAATTTCACTAAATACTTTTTCTTGTAGATTTCGGGACGCAGAAGTCTCATCCGCTTTCAGTTCTTCCATAACTCGAATGGTTTTTCCAGAATCGTCCTTTGAAATATTAAAAAATATGCAAAATTCCACCAATTCTCGACCAATTTTCAACAAAATTTTCTAAATTTCACTAGATACATTTTCTTGTCGATTTCGCGCCGCAGAAGTCATATCCGCTTTCACTTCTACGATAACTCGAATGGTTTTTCCAGAATCGTCCTTTGAAATATTCAAAAATATGCAAAATCCACCCAATTTTCGACCAATTTTCAACAAAATTTTCGAAATCTCACTAAATACATTTTCTTGTAGATTTTGGACCGCAAAAGTCATATCCGCTTTCATTTCTTCCATAACTCGAATGGTTTTTCAGAATCGTCCTTTGAAATATTCAAAAATATACAAAATTCGCCCAATTTTCGACCAATTTTCAACAAAATTTTCGAAATTTCACTAAATACATTTTCTTGTAGATTTCGAGCCGCAGAAGTCATATCCGCTTTCATTTCTTCGATAACTCCAATAGGTTTTCCAGAATCGTCTTTTGAAATATTCAAAAATATGCAAAATTCGCCCAATTTTCAACCAATTTTCAACAAAATTTTCGAAATTTCACTAAATACATTTTCTTGTAGATTTCGGGCCGCTGAAGTTATATCTGCCTTCATTTCTTCGATAATTCGAATGGTTTTTCTAGAATCGTCTTTTGAAATATTAAAAAATATGCAAAATCGCTCAATTTTCGACCAATTTTCAACAAAATTTTACTAAATACATTTTCTTGTGGATTTCGGGCCGCAGAAGTCATATCCGCTTTCATTTCTTCGATAAGTCGAATGGTTTTTCCAGAATCGTCCTTTGAAATATTCAAAAATATGCAATTTTCGACCAAATTTCAACAAAATTTTCGAAATTTCACTAAATACATTTTTTTGTAGATTTCGGGCCGTAGAAGTCTGATCCGCTTTCATTTCTTCGATAACTCGAATGGTTTTTCCAGAATCGTCCTTTGAAATATTCAAAAATATGCTAGATTCGCCCAATTTTTGACCAGTGTTCAACAAAATTTTCGAAATTTCACTAAATACATTTTCTTGTAAATTTCGGGCCGCAGAAGTCATTTCCGCTTTCACTTCTTCGATAACTCGAATGGTTTTTCCAGAATCGTCCTTGGAAACATTGAAAAATATGCAAAATCCGCCCAATCTTCGACCTATTTTCAACAAAATTTTCGAAATTTCACTAAATACATTTTCTTGTAGATTTCGGGCCGCAGAAGTCATATCCGCTTTCATTTCTTCGATAACTCCAATGGTTTTTCCAGAATCGTCCTTTGAAATATTCAAAAATATGCAAAATTCGCCCACTTTTCGACCAATTTTCAACAAAATTTTCGAAATTTCACTAAATACATTTTCTTGTAGATTTCGGGCCGCAAAAGTCATATCCACTTTCATTTCTTCGATAACTCCTATGGTTTTTCCAGAATCTTCCTTTGAAATATTAAAAAATATGCAAAATTCGCCCAATTTGCGACCAATTTTCAACAAAATTTTCGAAATTTCACTTAATACATTTTCTTGTAGATTTCGGGCCGCAGAAGTCATATCCGCTTTCATTTCTTCCATTACTCGAATGGTTTTTCCACAATCGTGCTTTGAAATATTAAAAAATACGCAAAATTCGCCCAATTTTCGATCAATTTTCAACAAAATTTTCGAAATTTCACTAAACACATTTTCTTGTAGATTTCGGGCCGTAAAAGTCATATCCGTTTTCATATCTCCGATAACTCCAATGGTTTTTCCACAATCGTCCTTTGAAATATTCAAAAATATGCAAAATCCGCCCGCCCAATTTTCGACCAATTTTCAACAAAATTTTCGAAATTTCACTAAATACATTTTATTGTAGATTTCGGGCCGCAGAAGTCATATCCGCTTTCATTTCTTCGATAACTCCAATGGTTTTTCCAGAATCGTCCTTTGAAATATTCAAAAATATGCAAAATTCGCCCAATCTTTGCCCAATTTTCAACAAAATTTTCGAAATTTCACCAAATACATTTTCTTGTAGATTACGGGCCGCAGAAGTCATATCCGCTTTCACTTCTTCGATAAATCGAATGGTTTTTCCAGAATCGTCGTTTGAAACATTGAAAAATATGCAAAATATGCCCAATTATCGACCAATTTTCAACAAAATTTTCGAAATTTCACTAAATACATTTTCTTGTAGATTTCGGGCCGCAGAAGTCATATCCGCTTTCATTTCTTCCATAACTCGTATGGTTTTTCCAGAATCGTATTTTGAAACATTCAAAAATATGCAAAATTCGCCCGATTTTCGACCAATTTTCAACAAAATTTTCGAAATTTCACTAAATACATTTTCTTGTAGATTTCGGGCCGCAGAAGTCATATCCGCCTTCATTTCTTCGATAACTCCAATGTTTTTTCCAGAACCGTCCTTTGAAATATTCAAAAATATGTAAAATTCGCCCAATTTTCGACCAATTTTCAACAAAATTTTCGAAATTTTGCTAAATATATTTTCTTGTAGATTTCGATCCGCAGAAGTCATATCCGCTTTCATTTCTTCCATAACTCGAATAGTTTTTCCAAAATCGTATTTTGAAATATTCAAAAATATGCAAAATTCGCCCAATTTTCGACCAATTTTCAACAAAATTTTGAAATTTCACTAAATACATTTTCTTGTAGATTTCGGGCCGCAGAAGTCATATCCGCTTTCATTTCTTCCATAACTCGAATGGTTTTTCCAGAATCGTATTTTGAAACATTAAAAAATATGCAAAATACGCCGAATTTTCGACCAATTTTCAACAAAATTTACGAAATTTCACTAAATACATTTTCTTGTAGATTTCGAGCCGCAGAAGTCATTTCCGCTTTCATTTCTTAGATAACTCGAATGGTTTTTCCAGAATCGTCCTTTGAAATATCCAAAAATCTGCAAAATTCCCCCAATTTTCCACCAATTTTCAACAAAATTTTCGAAATTTCACTAAATACATTTTCTTGTAGATTTCGGGCCGCAGAAGTCATATCCGCTTCCATTTCTTTGATAACTCCAATGGTTTTTCCAGAATCGTCCTTTGAAATATTGAAAAATATGCAAAATCCGCCCAATTTTCAACAAAATTTTCGAAATTTCACTTTATACATTTTCTTGTAGATTTGGGGCCGCAGAAGTCATATCCGCTTTCATTTCTTCCATAACTCGAATGGTATTTCCAGAATCGTCCTTTGAAATATTCAAAAATATGAAAAATCCGCCCAATTTTCGACCAATTTTCAACAAAATTTTCGAAATTTCACTAAATACATTTTCTTCTAGATTTCGGGCCGCAGAAGTCATATCCGCTTTCAGTTCTTCCATAATTCGAATGGTTTTTCCAGAATCGTCCTTTGAAATATTCAAAAATATGCAAAATTCGCCCAATTTTCGACCAATTTTCAACAAAATTTTCGAAATTTCACTAAATACATTTTCTTGTAGATTTCGGGCCGCAGAAGTCATATCCGCTTCCATTTCTTTGATAACTCCAATGGTTGTTCCAGAATCGTCCTTTGAAATATTGAAAAATATGCAAAATCCGCCCAATTTTCGACCAATTTTCAACAAAATTTTCGAAATTTTACTAAATACATTTTCTTGTAGATATCGGGCCGCTGAAGTCATATCCGCTTTCATTTCTTCCATAACTCGAATGGTATTTCCAGAATCGTCCTTTGAAATATTCAAAAATATGTAAAATCCGCCCAATTTTCGACCAATTTTCAACAAAATTTTCGAAATTTCACTAAATACATTTTCTTGTAGATTTCGGGTCGCTGAAGTCATATCCGCTTTCATTTCTTCGATAAGTCGAATGGTTTTTCCAGAATCGTCCTTTGAAATATTCAAAAATATGTAAAATTCGCCCAATTTTCGACCAATTTTCAACAAAATTTTCGAAGTTTCACTAAATACATTTTCTTGTAGATTTCGGGGCGCAGAAGTCATATCCGTTTTCATTTCTTCCAAAACTCGAATGGTTTTTCCAGAATCGTCCTTTGAATTATTCAAAAATATGCAAAATCTGCCCAATTTTCGACCAATTTTCAACAAAATTTTCCAAATTTCACTAAATACATTTTCTTGTAGATTTCGGGCTGCAGAAGTCATATCTGCTTTAAGTTTCTTGTTGTGAAAAGACGGCTATGTATATAAAAAAAAAGGCAAAATATAAGCCCCGCCCACCCACCCTGTCTTAATTCTGATGATTTTTTTATAGCAAAATGCTTATTTCTCTACAAAAAACTATTATGTGAAACATGTTTTTAGGTAACATGTTGTTGAAAGGAAACTATATATGTTAAGGAAAAATTAAGCAAATCTCAATTATGATGAATTTTACATTCGTTGTCAGACAGAGGGGCGGAGCTTACTTGTAGAATCGATGTTTCCTGACGAAAATTTACCATTTTAAACGTTTTAAATATATTGTCGTGAAAAGATTAGGTATATAAAAAAAAACTAAAAATTGTTATATTTCATGTTGTAAATTGTGGAAAAATGGACCTCCATGCCCTCAATCCGACACTGCCTTTTTCCATTATTTTTAAATCAATAGATCTAAATCGTTTCTGATTTTATCTTTTTCACATTATCTCCTATTGTGTACTTGTGATATAATAATATCGACAGAGCACGCAACAATCCTTCCATGTTAACAGTATCCATGCAGACACGAAAGCTCCTTAAAGCAAACATGACAATAAAAATTAAAACACAGCCGAAAAAGCGCCTGAAAAATCTCGTTCAGCTGCACAAGGATTTCGCCACAAGCTTAAAAGTGCAAACTAAATTATTTTTCGAACACTCGACTCTCCACGGAGTTCGATATATTGCCGAAAATGGGAGACCCTTCCTGGAAAAGTGAGCAAAATTAACATTTCCAGGACGAATAATAACGTTTTCTAGGTTCATGTGGTTTTCTTGTGTTGCTATTGGGGCTGTGGCTACAGCTGTGATTATCGTAAGTCTCTGGGATAAATTCCAGACTAATCCCACGATAACTGGGTTAGACACGGATTTTCATAACTGGAAGGTACCGTTTCCGGCCATCACGGTATGTCAGGAAGTACCGTACAGTTTGTCGCGAATAGAACAGTACTACGAAACGTACGTCGAATCGCGTTTCTATCGCTACTTTTATTCAGTGACTTTTTTAGGAATTTTGCAAATAAATCAGAATTTTCTGCAAAGTTTTTGGAGCGACTTACAACTTTGTCGTACGACAGTGTCGAATCTTTCAGGCACGAAATTCCAACAACTAGTGACAATCGGGTGAATTTTGACTTGAAACAAGTAGCTTTTGAGTTAATGAATCGATGCCAGGAAATTTTCGACAGCTGCGAATTCAAGTCATACGAGATCGACTGTTGCAGCCACTTCTTTCCCGTTTTTACCGAAACCGGGTTCTGCTACACTTTCAATTCTCGACACTACGAAAAAAAAATTCCCTGGAACAACGAAAATATTCAACCTTTTCATATTCACTACATCAAGGAAACCGACCCGAAGTGGTCCCTCAAGTTTAGCGTCAAGGGCGCGCTAATTAACATGCCTGTAATTATTTTTTTCCTGAAACTAAACAAAAAAAAAGTCTTAATCAACCCGTTTCAGATTTACATCCTCAATTCCGACGAGCTCGTGGGTTTAGATACCCAACCCCAGCACGTATGGGACTACAAAGTGAACAAAATCGCTTTTTCGGTCAAACAAACTTACACAACTGATGACACTAGACAGTTGTCTGTTAAACAAAGACACTGTGTTTTTCCGGACGAAACGAAGTTACAGATCGACGATATTTATACCATCACTGGGTGCAATAGTCAGTGCAGGATGGACAACTCCATGCGACTTTGTAAATGTATTCCACATTTTTACCCACAGATGGGACAGTATCGACACTGCACGGTCGAGCAATGGGTGTGCATCCACGACAACTTGAAAAGTATCAAAAATGTGGATCACTGCGACTGCCATTTGGGGTGCTTTAACACCGTCTACGAAGTGGAGAAGTTATCAGAAAAGTAATTTTTCTCGAACTATTTTATTTTTTTTTAGTATGTAGTTTTCTTTCAACAACAGGATGTTGGACATGTTTTCAGTTTCTTGTTGGAAAAAAAGACTTCGTATATTAAGAGAAAATAGACAAAATATAAGCCCCGCCCACCCACCCCTTCTCAATTGTGATGAATTTTTTATTCATTATGAGTTGAAGGGTGGAGTTTAGCTGCAAAATCCTCATTTCTCTACAAGAAATTACCATATGAAATATGTTTTTAAAAAACTGGAATTTTCTAGAGAAATTTTGGTGTCACAATTAAACTCCGCCTCTCGGTCTAATTAAGCCCCACCCACCCGCCTCGATCACAATTTAGATCGGGTGGGTGGGTGGGGTTTAATCTTTGTTTTTTTTCTTTATGTACATAAGTCACATAGAATAACTTCTACTTTCTTGAAATTAATGAAAAATTGAAAAATATAAAAATTCAAAATTCAAAACTCGTGAAATTTCAAATATAAAAACTGCAAAATCTAAAAATTGAAACGTCCGAAATTTGGAACATCGGAAAACTGGAAAATTTAAAACTGAAAAGTCGAAGAAATATTGCAAAATTGTAGTAAAGAAGAACTGAAAAATTGCAAATGGAAAAATTGACGAAACGAAAAATTGAAAAAACAACAAATCGGAACATTGAAAATTGTAAAAATAGAGAAAAGAAAAAACTGAAACGAAAAATTGCAAATGGAAAAATTAGAAATCGAAAACTCGAAAAATTCAGTTCGAAAAATTGTAAAGTCTATAAATTGAAAAATTCAAAAGTTGAAAACTAGAAAAATCTGAAATCGAAAAAATTAAAGAACAAAAAAATGATTGAAGAACTGAAAAATTTAAGTCAAAAAAGCTGTGGGACCGTTATTTACACTGCTGGATTTTACTTCATAGAGTTATCAGAAAACAAAAATTCCAAAACTTATGTAATTTTTCGAAAAAATGGGATTTATTTGGGTGCACTTCAGAGGCGAGGGAAGTTCCGTTGAAATAACCTTCGACCGATTTTTATAATTTATAGGAAGAGGAGGAAAAGGACGAAACAGGACGAAAAGGACCAAAAAGGACGAAAAGGACAAAAAGGACGAAAAGGAAGAAACAGGACGAAAAGGACCAAGGAGAATGAAAAGGACGAAAAGGACCAAAAAGGACGAAAAGGACGAAAAGGAAGAAACAGGACGAAAAAGGACCAAAAAGGACGAAAAGGATGAAAAGAACGAAACAGGACGAACAGCACGAAAAATGCCGAAAAAAGACGAAGAGGACGAAAAAGGACGATAAGGACAAAAAAGGACGAAAAGGATGAAAAGGATGAAATTGGACGAAAAGGAAGAAGCAGGACGAAAAGGTCGAAAAAGGCCAAAAAGGACGAAAAGGAAGAAACAGGACGAAAAGAACGACAAAGGACGAAAAGGACCAAAGGGGACGAAAAGGACGAAAAAGACCAAAAAGGACGAAAAGGACGAAAAAGAAGAAACAGGACAAAAAGGACCAAAAGGACGAACACGACCAAAGAGGACGAAAAGGATGAAAAAGGACGAAAAAGGACGAAACAGGACGAAAACGGCCAAAATGACGAAAAAGGCGAAAAAGGACTAAAAAGGACGAAACAGGATGAAAAGCACGAAAACAAGACGAAAAGGACGAAAAAGGATGAAAAGGACGAAAACTACCAAACAAGACGAAAAGAACGAAAAAGGACGAAAAAAGTGGTCTCTCGTTTCCGTCTGTTTGAATTGACGAAACAAAAAATAAAAAAAACAATAAATTATAAAATCGGAACATTGAAAAATTGCAAAAATAAAGAATAAATAAAAAACAAACGAAAAATTACTAACGGAAAAATTAAAAATTGAAAACTCGAGAAATTCAATTTGAAAAATTGCAGTCTATAAATTGAAAAATTCAAAAGTTGAAAACTAGAAAAATCTGAAATTGAAAAAAATTAAGGAAGAAAAAAATGAAAGAATGAAGAATTGAAAAATTCAAGTAAAAAAAGCTGTGGGACCACTTTTACTTTATAGAGTTATTAGAAAACAAAAATTGCAAAAAAATATCTAATTTTTCGAAAAAGTGGGATTTATTTGGGTGCACTTCAGAGGCGAGGGAAGTTCTGTTGAAATAGCCTTCGACCGATTTTTATAATTTATAGAAACAGGACGAAAAGGACGAAAAGGACCAAAAAGGACGACAAAGACCAAAAGGGACGAAAAAGACCAAAAAGGACGAAAAAGACCAAAAAGGACGAAAAGGACAATAAGGACGAATAAGGACGAAAAAGGACGAAAACGACCAAAAAGGACGACAAGGACGAAGAAGGACGAAAAGTGCCAAAGAGGACGAAAAGGACGAAAAGGACCAAAAAGGACGAGAAGGACCAAAAAGGACGAAAAGGACCAAAAAGGACGGAAAGGATGAAAAGTAAGAAACAGGGCGAAAAGAACAACAAAGGACGAAAAGGACCAACAAAGACGAAAAGGACGACAAAAAACCACAAAGGACGAAAAGGACGAAAAAGACTACAAAGGGCGAAAAAGGACGAAAAAGAACGAAAAGGGCGAATAAGGACGAAACAGGACGATAAGGATGAAAAGGACGAAATAGGACGAAAAGGACGAAAAAGGACGATAAGAGCGAAAAAGGACGAAAAGGACGAAAACGACCAAAAAGGACGACAAGGACGAAGGACGAAAAGTGCCAAAGAGGACGAAAAGGACGAAAAGCACCAAAAAGGACGAAAAGGACCAAAAAGGACGGAAAGGACGAAAAGTAAGAAACAGGACGAAAAGAACAACCAAGGACGAAAAGGACCAACAAAGACGAAAAGGACGACAAAAAACCAATAAGGACGAAAAGGACGAAAAAGACTAAAAAGGGCGAAAAAGGACGAAAAAGGACGAAAAGGGCGAATAAGGACGAAACAGGACGATAAGGATGAAAAGGATGAAATAGGACGAAAAGGAAGAAACAGGACGAAAAGGACGAAAACGACCAAAAAGACGAAAAAGACGAAAAGGACGAAAAGGGCCAAAAAGGACGAAAAGGAAGAAACAGGACGAAAAGAACGACAAAGGATGAAAAGGACCAAAAGGACGAACACGACCAAAAAGGACGAAAAGGACGAACAGCACGAAAAAGGCCGAAAAAAGACGAAGAGGACGAAAAAGGACGAAAAGGATGAAAATAACGAAATAGGACGAAAAAGAAGAAATAAGACGAAAAGACGGAAACGACCAAAGAGACGAAAAGGACGAAAAGGACGAAAAGGGCCAAAAAGGACGAAAAGGAAGAAACAGGACGAAAAGAACGACAAAGGACGAAAAGGACCAAAGAGGACGAAAAGGACGAAAACGACCAAAAAGAACGAAAAGGACGAAAAGGAAGAAACAGGACGAAAAGGACGACAAAGGACCAAAAAGGACGAAAACGACTGAAAAGACTAAAAGGACAAAAGAACAAAAAGGGCCAAACAGCATGAAAAGGACGAAAAGGACCAAAAAAAACGAAAAGGACGAAAAGGAAGAATCAGGACGAAAAGGACGACAAAGGAACAAAAAGGACGAAAAGGACGAAAAAGACCAAAAAGGACGAAAAATGACGAAAAAGACAAAAAAGACAAAAAGGACAGAACAGTACGAAAAGGCGAATAAGGACGAAACAGGACGAAAAGGATGAAAAGGACGAAATAGGACGAAAAGGAAGAAACAGGACGAAAAGGACGAGAAGGGACAAAAAGGACGAAAAGGAAGAAACAGGACGAAAAGGACGAAAACGACCAAAAAGACGAAAAGGACGAAAAGAACGAAAAGGGCCAAAAAGGACGAAAAAGAAGAAACAGGACGAAAAGAACGACAAAGGACGAAAAGGACCAAAGAGGACGAAAAGGACCAAAAAGGACGAAAAGGACCAAAAAGGACGAAAAGGACCAAAAAGGACGAAAAGGAAGAAACAGGACGAAAAGGACCAAAAGGACGAAAACTACCAAACAGGACGAAAAGGACGAAAAAGGACGAAAAAAGTGGTCTCCCGTTTCCGTCTGTCTGAATTGACGAAACAAAAAATTGAAAAAACAATAAATTATAAAATCGGAACATTGAAAAATTGCAAAAATAAAGAATAAATAAAAAACTGAAACGAAAAATTACTAAAAATTGAAAACTCGAGAAATTCAATTCGAAAAATTGCGAAGTCTTTAAATTATTCTAGTGTATGAAAACTTTAAGATTTTTAGAATGTGTCGAGTCTTTAGAATTTTTGAAAGGTTTGAAACCTTTTAATATTTCAAATATTTGGAAACTTTGGAATTTTTAAAATACCTACAATCTTAAGATTGTGTAAACTTTCGAAATTTTGAGACTTAATATTTTTTTATTTTATTTTAATTTTTGGGAAGTGCACAAAATGACCAGAATTTCCACATTTTCCAAAATTTCTAAAATTATCAGGTTCCAATTTTCCCATACTTTCTAAATTTTTTTAGATTTTCTAAAATTTGTAGATCTTGAGTCTAAATCTTTGCAATTTTTGAAATCTCTGGAATCTTTACAGTCTCCAAGATTTATTAGATAATAATTAGGGTGTTCACGGCCTTCAGCGCTTTTAGGATCTATAAAAATTAAAGATAGCATTTTTCCAATCTTTACGAATTTTAGGTCTTTGAGATTTTTGTTTTCTTTAAAGTCTTTGGAATTTGAAAAACGATTTTTACAAGTTTTAGAATCTGTGACTTTTTGGAATTTCTCTAGAACCTTTAGAATTTTTCAAGCATTCGAAACAGAATTTTAGCTTTTGACCCCTTAGAGTCCTTTAGAGCCTTTAAAATCTTGTTTTGACTATTTAGAGTCTTTCCAATCTATGGAAATTTTGAACACTTTGAGAATTACTAGGAGTTTTATAGAGTCAAAAATTTCTGCCATTTCTAGGATCATTAGTACCCCCGGAAGTTCCTTAAAATTTTTAAGATTATTGTTACTTTTTAAACAAGTTTAAAATGTTAAATTTTTGTAGACAAATATGAATTTTGCAATGAAGCTTTGCCCTTTTGACTCACGACGAATAAAAAGTCGTCACAATTGGGATAGGGTGGGTGGGCGGTACTTATATTTTGTTTTTTTCTTATTATACGTACTCTTCCTTTCAGAACAAGATACCAAAAACTAAAATTGTAATTTTTTGTAAGAAAGTGTGGAGTTTGCAATTACGCTCCATCCCTCAGTCTGACAACGAATAAAAAAAATCATCACGATTGAGATGGGGCGGGTGGGCGGGGCTAAGTTTTCCCATTTTTTTCTTAATATACATAGCCATTTTGTCACAATAAGAAACTTGAAGCAATCAGAATGTTTCACATTGTTAAAATTTCAATAACAAAAAAACATTTCTTAATAATTTAACTTCTCAGGAACACCAACGCAAAATTGTTTAAATTATACCTGAACGTGCTCGCTGCGCTCGCATTCTAAACGCTCTTTTTTTGAATTTAGTCTCAAGGAGTCTCAGAAAAGTTATTTGGGTTCAGTTATAATAATAACTCTCTAGAATTTAAAAAACACACCCTTAGAAAGCGAGCGCAGCGAGCACGTTCAGGTGGCTAGCGTCTCTCTTTTACTTAAGTATCATCGTGATAATAAAATTGTAGGACTGGCGATGGTGTTAACCAAATGGAAGCACGATTTGTTTCTTGGCCCATGGTGCGCTACAAACGCGAGGTGTTGTTTGGCTGGGTTGACTTACTCGGTAAATTTGTAGTTTAACACTCTATTTTATTAATTTTGTCGTTTAAGTGTCGTTTGGTGGCATCGCGGGTCTTTTTTTGGGGTTCAGTTTGCTTTCTGGAGTCGAAATTTTGTACTACTTTACAATCAGAGCTTGTTGTATGGTTGTGAAAGAACGACGCGAACTGGAGAAAATTCGCTACGAAGAAAGTACGAAGAGACCCGAGGACTACGATTTGAGTTTGCGACCGTATTGTTGTTTTGACCCTTTTCCCGGAAACGGGATCAATGAAGTGGCAAAAGGGTACTACAAAGAAAATTTGTACAACAACGTAGTTAGTACCGAGTAACTAGTACTAAAAAACGTTTTTATTTTTTTTGTGTTGTAGAAAGTGGCACCTTTGACTAAAACCAAGTGGAACCCATCCGAAAAAATCCTCCCCCCCTTTGGAATAGAATTTATTAATTAATTTATTAAGTCTGTCACATTACAATACTTGACAAAAACACGAGTTTTCTAAACGTGGCACAGATATATCTATCATAGTAAATATATACAAATCCTCATATACAAAATATACTCACGGTGTAAAAAGAGGAGACACAATAAATAAAAATAACAAAATAAATAAAGTGAAAGTCTATCACCGAACATCGCCCAGATCTAAATCATTTTCTTTCATCCTGAAAATATCTACAGGACCAACTATAGCCACAGGAACATTAATCATCCAATCACTTGTCTCTTAACGAGACGACTCGAATCTCCCAATTCTTAATCTAACTCTCATTTGTCCGTAGCATTCGGATTCGTGTAACTAAACCCTTGGAACTGAGTCTGATCCATCGACTGTAAAATATTCTGCTCAATGGGCGTGAGCTTCGCCTTCTCCACAGTAAAAGTTTTATCGAAATATTGCGTATCCAGCGGATGTTGCTAAAACAAACCAATCACAAACCGAACCCATCCTCACCCAACTTACCAAATTTGGTTTAAATGGAGGCTCCAACATCCTGGTTTCTAACCGATCCCACAGGATGGGTTGGAAGAACGGTTGATCCTGGATATCTCCAGCCGGACAAAACCGGTTACCCAGCCTCTTGTTGCCGTCTTTCTCTAGAAACTACAAACCCATTAAGCGTTCATACTTTTTCGCGTTTTTACCAGTAGGACAACGGCGCTGGCTTCGGCCGTCAGGTACCTGGGTATGACGGGTTTTTCGTTGCAGATGGACCAGAAGAGCTCGTCTTCGTCGCACCCGCTGAAGGGGGATTGCCCGATTAACATTTCGTAGAGGAGGACCCCGAAGGACCACCAGTCCACGCACTGGTTGTAGTGCTGGCCTTTGATGATCTGGAAGTTGAGGGTTAGTGGAGGGGGGGTTAAAGGGTGGAAGTACCTCGGGGGCCATGTAGTCGGGGGTTCCGCAGAAGGTGTCTGCCATTCGGTCGAGGAAGATTTGGAGTTTGCACATCCCGAAGTCCGCGATTCGGACGTGGCCGTCGAAGTCCAGGAGGATGTTGTCGAGTTTGAGGTCTCTGGAAGAGATTATATTCCTTATTTCAACAAGGCGGCAAACCCAAAGCTTCTTTTTCTATCTATTTCAGTTTTCAACATTTTCATCTATTCTATATTTTAATTTTTAGATTTTTGGATTTTTTCTTTTAAACGCAAAAAATTGGTCCAAAGTTACATATTTAGATAAATCTTCCCTCGCATCTGAAGTAAAAATATGTTATCGGTACATGCTTAACTTCAGTTGTTTATGTTTATACATCGAAAGAATGCGACAATTAAGCACGCAGCAAATTGTCTCCTCAAAACAGAGGAAGCGATTGAAATTGAAAAATTGAAAAATCTAAAAATTTAAAGATCAAAATACTTATTGAAAAATCCCAAAATTGGAAAAATCCCAAAACTTAATAAACAATGAAAATTTGAAAAATCGCGAAATCGGAAAGACGAAAAATTGAGAAATCGAAACATCAAAAAATTTAGAAACGCCAAAAATTGAAAAATTTAGAAATCAAAATACATATTGAAAAATCCCAAAATTGAAAATTCCCAAAACTTAATAAACATTGAAAATTTGAAAAATTGCGAAATCGGAAAGACGAAAAATCAAAAAGTCGAAAAATTGAAAAATCGAAAAATCCAAAAATTTAAAATTTGAAAAATCGAAAAATTTAAAAATCGAAATCCATATTGAAAATTTCCAAAACTTAATAAATATTGAAAATTTGAAAAATCCCGGAATCGGAAAGACGAAAAATCAAAAAGTCGAAAAATTGGGAAATCAAAAAATCCAAAAATTTAGAAACGCCAAAAATTTCAAAATCGAAATAAATATTGAAAAATCCTAAAACTGAAAAATCCCAAAACTTAATAAACATTGAAAATTTGAAAAATCGGGAAATCGGAAAGACGAAACATCAAAAAGTCGAAAAATTGTGAAATTGAAAAATCGAAAAATTTAGAAACGCCAAAAATTGAAAAATTGAAAAATCGAAATCCATATTGAAAATTTCCAAAACTTAATAAACATTGAAAATTTCGAAAATCGCTAAATCGGAAAGACGAAAAATCAAAAAGTCGAAAAATTGGGAAATCAAAAAATCCAATAATTTAGAAACGTCAAAAATTTAAAAATCGAAATAAATATTGAAAAACCCCAAAACTTAATAAACGTTGAAAATTTGAAAACTCGCGAAATCGGAAAGATGAGAAATCAAAAACTTGAAAAATTGAAAAATCGAAAAATCCAAAAATTTAGAATTTGAAAAATCGAAAAATTTAAAAATCGAAATACATATTGAAAAATCCTAAAACTGAAAAATCCCAAAACTTAATAAACATTGAAAATTTGAAAAATCGGGAAATCGGAAAGACGAAAAATCAAAAAGTCGAAAAATTGTGAAATTGAAAAATCGAAAAATTTAGAAACGCCAAAAATTGAAAAATTGAAAAATCAAAATCCATATTGAAAATTTCCAAAACTTAATAAATATTTGAAAAGTTCCGAAATCGGAAAGACGAAAAATCAAAAAGTCGAAAAATTGGAAAATCAAAAAATCCAAAAATTTAGAAACGGCAAAAATTTCAAAATCAAAATAAATGTTGAAAAATCCCAAAACTTAATAAACATTGAAAATTTGAAAAATCGCGAAATCGGAAAGATGAGAAATCAAAAGGTCGAAAAATTGAAAAATCGAAAAATCCAAAAATTTAGAAACGCCAAAAATTTAAAATTTGAAAAAACGAAAAATTTATAAATCGAAATACATATTGAAAAATCCTAAAATTGAAATAACCCAAAACTTAATAAACATTGAAAATTTGAAAAATCGGGAAATCGGAAAGACGAAAAATCAAAAAGTCGAAAAATTGTGAAATCGAAAAATTTAAAAACGCCAAAAATTGAAAACTTGAAAAATCGAAAAATTTAAAAATCGACATACATATTGAAAAATCTCAAAACTGAAAAATCCCAAAACTTAATAAACAATGAAAATTTGAAAAATCGCGAAGTCGGAAAGACGAAAAATTAAGAAATCGAAAAATCCAAAAATTTAGAAAAAAATCCCAAAACTTAATAAACATTGAAAATTTGAAAAATCGCGAAATGGGAAAGACGAAAAATCAAAAAGTCGAAAATCTGAAAAATCGAAAAATTTAAAAATCGAAATCCACATTGAAAATTTTCAAAACTTAATAAACATTGAAAATTTAGAAAATCGCTAAATCGGAAAGACGAAAAGTCGAAAAATTGGGAAATCAAAAAATCCAATAATTTAGAAACGCCAAAAATTTAAAAATCGAAATAAATATTGAAAAACCCCAAAACTTAATAAACACTGAAAATTTGAAAAATTGGGAAATCGGAAAGACGAAAAATCAATAAGTCGAAAAATTGTGAAATCGAAAAATTTAGAAACGCCAAAAATTGAAAACTTGAAAAATCAAAAAATTTAAAAATCGACATACATATTGAAAAATCCCAAAACTGAAAAATCCCAAAACTTAATAAACAATGAACATTTGAAAAATCGCGAAATCGGAAAGACGAAAAATTGAGAAATCGAAAAATCCAAAAATTTAGAAAAAATCCCAAAACTTAATAAACATTGAAAACTTGAAAAATAGAGAAATTGGAAAGATGAAAAATCAAAAAGTCGAAAAATTGAAAAAAATCGAAAAATCCAAAAATTTAGAAAAGCCAAAAATTCAAAAATAACAAACAAGTGAAAAATCTAAAATTTAAAAATTCGAAAAATCTAAAATTTAAAAATTCGAAAAATGAAAAATTTTAAAAAACGAACAATCAAAAATTTAAGATTTAAAAAGTCGCAATATTTTGAAAAATTGTATAAGTAAAAAATCAAAAAGACAAAGTCGAAAAATCGAAAAATTTAAAAATCGAAATACATATTGAAAAATCTCAAAATTGAAAAATCTCAAAACTTAATAAACATTGAAAATTTGACAAATTGCGAAATCGAAAAGACGAAAAATCAAAAAGTCGAAAAACTGACAAATCGAAAAATCCAAAAAATTAACGCCCAAAATTGAAAAATCGAAAAACGTATTGAAAAATCCCAAAATTGGGAATTCTAAAAACTTAATAAACATTGAAAATTTGAAAAATTGCGAAATCGGAAAGACGAAAAATCAAAAAGTCGACAAATTGGAAAATCAAAAAATCAAAAAATTTAGAAACGCCAAAAATTTAAAATTTGAAAAAACGAAAAATTTAAAAATCGAAATACATATTGAAAAATCCTAAAACTGAAAAATCCCAAAACTTAATAAACATTGAAAATTTGAAAAATCAGGAGATCGGAAAGACGAAAAATCAAAAAGTCGAAAAATTGTGAAACTGAAAAATCGAAAAATTTAGAAACGCCAAAAATTGAAAAATTGAAAAATCGAAAAATCCAAAAATTTAGAAACGCCAAAAATTTAAAATTTGAAAAAACGAAAAATTTAAAAATCGAAATACATATTGAAAAATCCTAAAACTGAAAAATCCCAAAACTTAATAAACATTGAAAATTTGAAAAATCAGGAGATCGGAAAGACGAAAAATCAAAAAGTCGAAAAATTGTGAAACTGAAAAATCGAAAAATTTAGAAACGCCAAAAATTGAAAAATTGAAAAATCGAAATCCATATTGATAATTTCCAAAACTTAATAAATATTGAAAATTTGAAAAATCCCGAAATCGGAAAGACGAAAAATCAAAAAGTCGAAAAATTGGGAAATCAAAAAATCCAAAAATTTAGAAACGCCAAAAATTTCAAAATCGAAATAAATATTGAAAAATACCAAAACTTAATAAACATTGAAAATTTGAAAAATCGCGAAATCGGAAAGATGAGAAATCAAAAAGTCGAAAAATTGAAAAATCGAAAAATCCAAAAATTTAGAATTTGAAAAAACGAAAAATTTAAAAATCGAAATACATATTGAAAAATCCTAAAATTGAAATAACCCAAAACTTAATAAACATTGAAAATTTGAAAAATCGGGAAATCGGAGACGAAAAATCAAAAAGTCGAAAAATTGTGAAATCGAAAAATCGAAAAATTTAGAAACGCCAAAAATTGAAAAATTTAAGAATCGAAATCCATATTGAAAATTCCCAAAACTTAATAAGCATTGAAAACTTGGAAAATCCCGAAATCAGAAAGACGAAAAATCAAAAAGTCGACAAATTGGAAAATCAAAAAATCCAAAAATTTAGAAACGGCAAAAATTTCAAAATCAAAATAAATGTTGAAAAATCCCAAAACTTAATAAACATTGAAAATTTGAAAAATCGCGAAATCGGAAAGATGAGAAATCAAAAGGTCGAAAAATTGAAAAATGGAAAAATCCAAAATTTTAGAAACGCCAAAAATTTAAAATTTGAAAAAACGAAAAATTTATAAATCGAAATACATATTGAAAAATCCTAAAACTCAAAAATCCCAAAACTTAATAAACATTGGAAATTTGAAAAATCAGGAAATCGGAAAGACGAAAAATCAAAAAGTCGAAAAATTGTGAAATTGAAAAATCGAAAAATTTAGAAACGCCAAAAATTGAAAAATTGAAAAATCGAAATCCATATTGAAAATTTCCGAAACTTAATAAATATTTGAAAAGTCCCGAAATCGGAAAGACGAAAAATTAAAATGACGAAAAATCAAAAAGTCGAAAAATTGAGAAATCGAAAAATCCAAAAATTTAGAACGCCAAAAATTGAAAACTTGAAAAATAGAAAAATTGAAAAATGGAAATACATATTGAAAAATCCCAAAAGTTAATAAAAATGAAAATTTGAAAAATCGCGAAATCGGAAAGACGAAAAATTGAGAAATCGAAAAATCCAAAAATTTTGAAAAAATCCCAAAACTTAATAAACATTGAAAACTTGAAAATAGAGAAATCGGAAAGATGAAAAATCAAAAAGTCGAAAAATTGAAAAAATCGAAAAATCCAAAAACTTGGAAAAGCCAAAAATTCAAAAATAACAAACAAGTGAAAAATCTAAAATTTAAAAAAACGAACAATCAAAAATTTTTGAAAAATTGTATAAGTAAAAAATCAAAAAGACAAAGTCGAAAAATCTCAAAACTTAATAAACATTGAAAATTTGACAAATTGCGAAATCGAAAAGACGAAAAATCAAAAAGTCGATAAACTGACAAATCGAAAAATCCAAAAAATTAACGCCCAAAATTGAAAAATCGAAAAATTTAGAAATCGAAAAACGTCTTGAAAAATCCCAAAATTGAAAATTCTAAAAACATAAACGTTGAAAATTTGAAAAATCGCGAAATCGGAAAGACGAAAAATGAAAAAGTCGAAAAATTGAGAAATCGAAAAATCCATAAATCGAAATACATATTAAAAAAACCCAAAATTGAAGAATCCCAAAACTTAACAAACATTGAAAATTTGAAAAATCGCGAAATTGGAAAAACGAAAAATCAAAAAGTCGAAATATTGAAAAATCGAAAAATTCAAAAATTTAGGAACGACAAAAATTGAAAAATCTAAAAATTTAGAAACGACAAAAATTTAAAAATCGAAAAATTTTAAAATGGAAATACATATTGAAAAATCCCAAAATTGGAAAATCCCAAAACTTAATAAACAATGAAAATTTGGAAAATCGCGAAATCGGAAAGACTAAAAATCAATAAAGTCGAAAAATGGAGAAATCGAAAAATCCAAAAATTTAGAAACGCCAAAAATTGAAATATTGAAAAATCGAAAAATTTGAAAATCAAAATTCATATTGAAAAATCCCAAAACTGAAATATGCTAAAACTTAATACATAAACATTGAACGTTTGAAAAACGGCGAAATCGAAAAGACGAAAAATTAAAATGACGAAAAATTAAAATGTCGAAAAACTGAGAAATCGAAAAATCCAAAAATTTAGAAACGCCAAAAATTGAAAACTAGAAAACTCGAAAAATTTAAAAATCGAAATACATCAAATTGGGAAATTCTAAAATGGAATTATTCCAAAACTTAATGAACATTGAAAATTTAAAAAAAATCGAGAAATCGGAAAGACGAAAAGTCGAAAAACTGAGAAATCGAAAACTCCAAAAATTTAGAAACGCCAAAAATTGAAAACTTGAAAAATAGAAAAATTGAAAAATCCCAAAACTTAATAAACGTTGAAAATTTGAAAAATCGAGAAACCGGAAAGACGAAAAATCAAAAAGTCGAAAAATTGAAAAAAATCGAAAAATCCAAAAATTTTGAAAAGCCAAAAATTCAAAAATTGAAAATTCGAAAATTTTAAATACATAAATCCCAAAACTGAAACGTTGACAAATTGGAAAATCGGAGAAATCGAAAAGATAAATTATCGAAAAACTGAGAAATTGAGAAATCGAAACTGAAAAATGATGAAATCGAACCACCAAAAGATCGAGAAGTTGAAAAATCGAAAAATTTATAAATAGAAGCGGCTAAAAACCGAAAAATGGGAAAATTCAAAATTGAAAAATTGTATCTTAAAAAAATCGATAAACCGAAAAAGTGAAAAGTCGAAGCATGGAAAAACTGAAAAATGAATTCAGAAAATTTGAAAAACCGAAAAATCTGAAAACGAGAAGGAAAAAAGCCAAAGAAAATAAAAATCGAAACAATAAAAAAGTGGAAAACCCAAAAATTCAAAAATTCAAAAAAAATCGAGTATTCAAAACATCAACAAATCGAAAAAACAAAAAACTGAAAAATCGAAAAATGTAAGATTTTTAAAACTCGCAATATTTTGACAATCAAATAAGTAAAAAATCAAAAACATGAAAGGTCAAAAGAACGAAAAATTTAAAAACCAAAATCCGTATTGAAAAATTCCAAAATTTGAAAATCCAATAACTAATAAACATGAAAAATCAAAAAGTCCAAAAATTGAAAAAAATCAAAAAATCCAAAAATTTTTAAAAGCCAAAAATTCAAAAATTAAAAATTCGAAAATTTTAAATACATAAATCCCAAAACTGAAACGTTGACAAATTGGAAAATCGGAAAATCGAAAAGATGAATTATCGAAAAACTGAGAAATTGAGAAATTGCAATTGAAAAATTGTGAAATCGACACATCAGAAGATCGAGAAGTCGAAAAAACGAAAAATTGAGAACTAGAAGTGGCTAAAAACCGAAAAATGAGACAATTCAAAATTATTTTTTTTATCTTAAAAAAAGCAATAAACCGAAAAAGTGAAAAGTCGAAGCATGGAAAAACTGAAAAATGAATTCCGAAAATTTGAAAAACCGAAAAATCTGACAACGAGAAAGAAAAAAGCCAAAGACTGAGAAATCGAAACAATAAAAAAGTGAAAAATCTAAAATTTTAAAATTCAAAAAAAATCGAGTATTCAAAACACCAACAAATCGAAAAAACAAAAAACCGAAAAATCGAAAAATGTAAGATTTAAAAAGTCGTAATATTTTGACAATCGAATACGTAAAAAATCAAAAACATGAAAGGTCAAAAGATTGAAAAATTTACTAACCAAAATTATATTGAAAAATTCCAAAATTGAAAAATTCAAAAACTAATAAACATTGAAATTTCGAAAAATTGGGAAATCGGAAAGACGAAAAATCGAAAAGTCCAAAAATGAAAAAATACATTAAAATTGAGAAAATGAAAAATTAAAAAATTTAGAATCTAAAAATGGGAAAATTCAAAATTGAAAAATTTTATCTTAAAAAAACCGATAAACCGAAAAAGTGAGAAATCGAAAGATCGAAAAACTGAAAAATTAATTCCGAAAATTTACTTATTCAATTTTTCGAAATATTACGACTTTGTAAATGTTACATTTTTTTTATTTTTCATTTCATTCTTTCGATGTATAAACATCAACAACTGAAGTTAAGCATGTACTGATAATATAATTTACTTCAGAGGCGAGGGAAGATCTGTCTAAATAACTTTAGACCAATTTTTGAGTTTAAAAGAAAAAGTATTGCCGGTGCCTAGTGTTTTTTTTTAATATAAAAAAATCTTCGGAGCCTTTTATGTTTTGTTTTTAAAATGCTTTTAAAAAATCTTGAGGATCCGTGGACTTCTTTATTTGGAAAGAATTTTACAGAATCTTTGAGGCTCCTAGTGTAAATTCAAAAATTAGAATATGGAATAAATGAAAATGTTAAAAAATGTAAAATTTAAAAATTAGCAAAATTTTGAAAAATCCCAAAATTGAAAAATTCCAAAACATAAAAGAAAAATCGAAAATTTAGAAACGCCAAAAATCGAAAAATCAAAAAACTGAAAAATCGAAAAATGTAAGACTGAAAAACTCGCAATATTTTCAAAAACCGAATAAGTAAAAAATCAAAAACACGAAAAGTCGAAAAACCGAAAAATTTAAAAGTCGAAGTATTTAAAAGTTTTCACAAATAAAAAAAACCCAAACCTTCCTACAATTTTTCATTTCTTCACGTGCTCCGTGACACTTTAATCGTGAACACGTTCAGGATTAATACCCCTGTCAAAAATAAATACTCCTGGCTCTTCACTCATCCCACTTGACGTGCGCTCAAAAAGCGCCGAAATAATTTATGGCGCTCCACCTGAGTGCGCCGCCCCCACAAACCGTCTCGAAATCTCAATCGTGCCCATTACGCACTGCCAGACATTTCACGCGAAATTTGTACTTACATTAAACCTGCAACGAATTCGCGCAATCTGCGTAAATCAGCGTAAATTAACGATTTATCCCGCGATCGTTTAAAATTAAACGAGGAAACAGGTAATCGTCGAAACGCGAAAATTTGGGACGTTGAACTGCAATAACCCATCCAGAAATCTGGTAAAAATACACGGTATTTTTTATCACGCGCTCCAGGACGTTATGCAATTTTCTTTAATTAGATTGTTTATGCAGTGTTTTCGGGATGCGCTGTGTTTAAAATTACCTGTAAACGATGCCTTTGTTGTGGAGGAATTTCAGACCCGACACGATTTCGGCGCCGTAAAAGCGGGCCCGGACTTCGGGAAAACGACCCTCTTTCTGGATGTGGAACATGAGGTCGCCGCCGTTGAGGTACTCCATGACGAAGAACAAATGCGACTAGAAAAAAAAAAAAAAATCACGAAAATGGAAAATCCGGCAACGAAAACGTGAAAATACTTCTGTCTGAAAAGTGCACAACAAGTGGCATAAGTATGGGTGTTTGGTGGCCAACGCCAGCACTTTTCTCTCGATGAGGGTGCACTCGACGTCGTCGTCCTCCAACACCACGTCCTTCTTCAAGCACTTAATAGCGTAATAATATTCGGTGTTCTTCAGCTCGGCTAGAAGCACCTTTCCGAAGCTTCCTTTTCCCAGTACTTTGAGGAAGGTGAAGTCTTCCACGCAGTACTTGCGGAATCTGGGGATGGTGGTGGCCGGGGGTGTGATTCTGCCGCTTCGCTGGAAGCCGGCGTAGGTGCTGGAGTGGCTGAACTCCTCCAGGAGGTCGCTAGGGTCCAGCGATAAAGCCGGGTTTCGGGCTGGATTCGACGTGGGCGAGTCTCGGGTTTCGGTCGAACCTAAGAAAGAGAAATCATGTAATGGGAATAAGTAGGTAATTAGAGCGCGGCTTTTTTTAACAGGTGGACAAATAAAAATAAAACAAGTCGTTATTACCCGGTTTTAATTATGTTAAAGTGGGACTAGGACGCGCGATTTTTCTAGGACAGGTATTGCGAGTGTTGTTAGGGTTTATTTATGGGTGTTTGGGTGTCAGTGGGGCAACAATTACGTTGTCGTCGAGTAAGTGGAGTTTAATTGAGAAGTTTTGAAGGTTTTTCGGTTTTTCTGGAATGGCTAAGGCGTCAAGATCAATTTTAATTTGATTGAAGCAAATTTTTGGGTTGGCAATTCTGAATTATTGGCAGCATTGTTAACTTGTCAGTTTTGACATGAGTCTGACAAAAAATAACAATAGTGATTCGGCAGTTGACCTACTTTTCAAAATTCATGAAAAAATTGAGCGGAAGTTGTTTCGACAAAACTTCCCTCGTTCCTGAAGTACAATAAAACATATCCAGCATTTTCAGTTGACTTGATAATTTAATAAGCACCCCCTTCTGAAGTGTGCATGTTACGCTACTGACGGACAGTTCGTTGTCAGATTCTGATGACTCACCATGTTGAACTTAAAATAATCCACCTCTAACACGCTTGTCCTTCACCACTTTATTCATGTTTATACATCGAAAGAATGTCATGTAGAAATTAGTTTGATTTGAATGAGTTTGTCTTCTCAAAACACAGGACTAAAATAATTAATTAAACCACGATCGAACAAAATGTTCTGAATATTATAATTCTGATTTTATTTTTATTATAAACATGTGTATATTCTTACATTTTCGAGAAAATTGATTCATACATTTCTTTGAGCTACTTGTTTAAACAAATTTAAAAAATATTAATGCGGTGATAAATCACAAGAAAAAACTCATCATACTTTGCATATGTATTTTGGGTAGAATTTATTCGGCATAATTTAGATTTTTGTTTCAGATTTTTCAATTTTTCTAGTGTTTGATGTTTCGATTTCTAGGTTTTTCAAATTCTCAATTTTTCAATTTTTTTCTTGACATCAATGTTTCGATTTTTCAATTGTTCAATTTTTTCATTTTTCAATTTTTCAATTTTTCTAGGTTTTGATGTTTCAACTTCTAGGTTTTTCAAATTTTCGAATTTTAAATTTTTTAACGTTTCTAAATTTTCGATTTTTCCCAACCTCTCCATTAATCGGGTTTTTGATTTTTCAATTTTTCGACTTCGAGTTTTCCACTTTTCAATTCTTCGATTTTTTTTGTTCAAGATTTTTCAATTTTTCTGTTTTGATGTTTCGATTTGTAGGTTTTTCAAATACTCGATTTTTAAATTTTTCTCAACTACTTCATTCATCGAGTTTTTGATTTTTCTATTTCTCAATTTCTCGACTTCAATGTTTCGATTTTTCAATTCTTCAATTTTTCGACTTCGAGTTTTCCACTTCTCCAATTCTTCGATTTTTTTGCTTAAGATTTTTCAATTTTTCAAGGTTTTGATGTTTCAATTTCCAGGTTTTCGAATTTTAAACTTTTTGACGTTTCTAAATTTTCGATTTTTTTCAACTTCTTCATTAATCGAGTGTTTGGTTTCCCGATTTCTAGATTTCAATTTTTCGATTTTTCAGGTTTCTGATTTTTCAATTTCTCGACTTCGATTTCTCGATTTTTTACTTTTCCTACTTTTTAATTTTTATGTTTTAGATTTTTCAATTTTTGTGCTTTTGATGTTTCGATTTATTTTTATTTTTCAATTTTTGGGTATTTTAACTTTTCAATTTAACCTTACGGGTTTTTGATGTTTCAATTTTTTCGAATGATTAAATTTTTTGACGTTTCTAAATTTTCAATTTTTCCCAACTACTCCATTCATCGAGTTTTTGATTTTCCCATTTTTCGATTTCTTGACATCAAATCAATGTTTCGATTTTTCAGTTCTTCAATTTTTTGATTTTTCAGGTTTTTGATTTTTCAATTTTTCGATTTCCAGTTTTCCCCTTTTCAATTTTTCGATTTTTTTTTGTTTAAGATTTTTCAATTTTTCTGTTTTGATGTTTCGATTTCCAGGTTTTTCAAATTTTCGAATTTTAAATTTTTTGACGATTCTAAATTTTCAATTTTTCCCAACTTCTCCTTAATCGAGTTTTCCCCATCTCTCGATTTCTACACTTCAATTTTTCGATTTTTCAGGTTTCTGATTTTTCAATTTCTCGACTTCGATTTCTCGATTTTTTACTTTTTCTACTTTTTAATTTTTACGTTTTAGATTTTTGAATTTTTGTGCTTTTGATGTTTCGAATTATTTTTATTTTTTCAATTTTTGGGTATTTTAACTTTTCAATTTAATCTTACGATTTTTTGATTTTTCAGTTTTTCCATATTTCAATTTTTTGAATGACTAAATTCTTTGACGTTTCTAAATTTTTAATTTTTCCCAACTACTCCAATCATCGAGTTTTTGATTTTCCCATTTTTCGATTTCTTGACATCAAATCAATGTTTCGATTTTTCAATTCTTCAATCTTTTGATTTTTCAGGTTTTTGATTTTTCAATTTTTCGATTTCGAGTTTTCCCCTTTTCAATTTTTCGATTTTTTTTGTTTAAGATTTTTAAATTTTTCTGTTTTGATGTTTCGATTTCCAGGTTTTTCAAATTTTCGAATTTTAAATTTTTTGACGATTCTAAATTTTCAATTTTTCCCAACTTCTCCTTAATCGAGTTTTCCCCATCTCTCGATTTCTAGACTTCAATTTTTCGATTTTTCAGGTATTTGATTTTTCAATTTTTCGACTTCGAGTTTTCCACTTCTCCAATTCTTCGATTTTTTTGTTTAAGATTTTTCAATTTCTCGATTTTTCGATTTTTCAGGTTTCTGATTTTTCAATTTTTCGATTTCGATTTCTCGATTTTTTGATTTTTAGATTTTCGATATTTCAATTTTTCGAATTATGAATTTTAGATTTTCTAGTTTTTTGATGTCTCGCTTTCTCGATCTTCGGATTTTTCTAATTCCTGGTTTTAAATTTTTCGGTTTTTCAATTTTTAAAATTTTTAATCTTCGATTTTTCAATTTGTCGCTTTGATTTCTCGATGTTTCAGTTTTTCAACGTTTCATCTTCCAGATTTTTCAATTTTTCGAATCTTCCACTTCTGGATTTCTCGATTTTTTACTTTTTACAAATATTTCAATTTTTTGATTTTTAAATTTTTTGAAGTTTCTAAATTTTCAATTTTTCGATTTCCCAACTTCTCCATTGATACTACTGCGACTTCAATGTTTCTATTGGTCAATTCTTCGATTTTTCAAATTTTTCAACTTCGAGTTTTCCATTTTTCAATTTCTCGACGTTTTACTTTTTCCACTTTTTAATTTTTCGATTTTTATGTTTTAAATTTTTAAATTTTTCTATTTTTGATGTTTCGATTTTTTCAAATTCTCAATTTTTTAATTCTTTGTAAATTTTCTAATTTTCAGATGACGTCAAAAATATATTTTGATTAAAAATTTATCATGGTTATATTTAAAACCCAAAATCCAGAAAAATTTAAAAAAAGGAAGTGGAGGCGCCGGGCATCGATCCCGGTACCTCTCGCATGCTAAGCGAGCGCTCTACCATCTGAGCTACGCCCCCTGTTTTTTATCAGTGGCTACAGAAACAAGTTTCGTACCATTGGACCTACTTTCCAAATTCCATAAAAATTTCTCGATTTTTTATTTTTTCTACTTTTTAATTTTTGATTTAGATTTTTCAATTTTTGTGCTTTTGATGTTTCGATTTATTTTTATTTTTTCAATTTTTGGGTATTTTAACTTTTCAATTTAACCTTACGATTTTTTGATTTTTCAGTTTTTCGATATTTCAATTTTTTCGAATGATTAAATTCTTTGACGTTTCTAAATTTTCAACTTTTCCCAACTACTCCATTCATCGAGTTTTTGATTTTCCCATTTTTCGATTTCTTGACATCAAATCAATGTTTCGATTTTCCAATTCTTCAATTTTTTGATTTTTCAGGTTTTTGATTTTTCAATTTTTCCATTTCGAGTTTTCCCCTTTTCAATTTTTCGATTTTTTTGTTTAAGATTTTTCAATTTTTCTGTTTTGATGTTTCGATTTCCAGGTTTTTCAAATTTTCGAATTTTAAATTTTTTGACCATTCTAAATTTTCAATTTTTCCCAACTTCTCCAATCGAGTTTTCCCCGTTTCTCGATTTCTAGACTTCAATTTTTCGATTTTTCAGGTTTCTGATTTTTCAATTTCTCGACTTCGATTTCTCGATTTTTTACTTTTTCTACTTTTTAATTTTTATGTTTCAGATTTTTCAATTTTTGTGCTTTTGATGTTTCGATTTATTTTTAATTTTTTCAATTTTTGGGTATTTTAACTTTTCAATTTAATCTTACGATTTTTTGATTTTTCAGTTTTTCGATATTTCAATTTTTTCGAATGATTAAATTTTTTGACGTTTCAAAATTTTCAACTTTTCCCAACTACTCCATTCATCGAGTTTTTGAATTTCCCATTTTTAGATTTCTTAACATCAATGTTTCAATTTTTCAGTTCTTCAATTTTTCGATTTTTCAGGTTAATTTTTCAATTTTTCGACTTCGAGTTTTCCACTTCTCCAATTCTTCGATTTTTTTGTAAGGTTTTGATGTTTCGATTTCTAGGTTTTCGAATTTTAAATTTTTTGACGTTTCTAAATTTTCAATTTTTCAGAACTACTCCATTCATCGAGTTTTTGATTTTCCCATTTTTCGATTTCTTCACATCAAATCAATGTTTCGATTTTTCAGGTTTCTGATTTTCTCGATCTTCGGATTTTTCTAATTCCTGGTTTTAAATTTTTCGGTTTTTCATTTTTTTAAATTTTTAATCTTCGATTTTACAATTTGTCGCTTTGATTTCTCGATGTTTCAGTTTTTCAATGTTTCATCTTCGTGATTTTTCAATTTTTCGAATCTTCCACTTCTGGATTTCT